TTGCTAGTCTGAAATGTTTCCATGGCAGTAAACATTACTGGTATGGGTTGGTCTTGAAAAATTGTCTTCTTTGTTGCATACCTAATACTAAGGTGGTAATTATTTCCAAATGTGGATCTTCTCCTAACTGAAAAATACATGTGGCATCTTTTGTACTGCTCTGGCAATTGAAAAAATTGTTTAAATATTGGAGTACTCATTTTAAACTCACATTGTAAAGTTTTTATTTTGAAAGACCCTATCCCTGACAGGCTCTTTTCACATGTGGTCTATAAGTTTGTATGTGCTGGCTGTAATGCCTGTTACAATGGGAATGCTCTGCTCTTAGTTCCAAAAACCTCAGCTTTAGATATACAACATTGGGCCTTGAAACTGTTTCTCCATTTACATTCATATTTGTTGTGAGAACAGTTCTATATCCATTTACTTGGGAGTGTTTTATTTGGGCCATGAGCCCCTTCAGTGATAAAGACACCCCTTTATACATGAAGCAAACTTAAGAAAAGTAGTCCTTTAGAGATAAATGGCATCCCAATTATAGTCCATTATGGGAATTAGCTTCAGCCCTTAAACTCCCATGATTTGATTTTTTATTCTCCTCTTTAGCTGATTTTCATTTCCTTGTAAATTAGCCATGAAAATTTGTTGTTAGATTAAGATAGCAACAACTACCTGATAAATTGGAGTTTTCTCCTCACCTCTTTACTGGATAATGTATTGATATTGTAGGAAGAAGTTACATATCAATCACTTTTGGGAGTTTTAGGATTAAATGATCCTTATTAGAAAATTCTACTGAGCAGTTTTCTAAGTTGTATGACTTTACTTCTGTTACTGAACACAGCCTTGTGATGCAACATAGTACAGTACGACAAAAAGATAAAGAAAGTGAAGTACTGTGAAGTCTTGCTGGCCCATTGCAAGCCTTTGTGGACAGTGGAAAGAGAGTGGACTGAGTGCAAGACTCTTTTCTGGATGGACACTGTAAACACTCAGCAGGACAGACAAGCTCAGAAAGAAGGCAGATAAGCAAATGGATAAGAGAGAATGGATAAGTGGAAACTGTTATTGTCAAAGTAAGTACACTTTTGGTCATTTTGTCAGATGTTCATGATCAAATGAAACATTTTCTATGTACCATATACTGTTTGCTTCTGAAAAAAAATTGATATCACATCTTATTGTGTTCTAGTAATGTGCATGCTAGTTCAGTTTTATATCCAGTTTAAATTGATTTTCTTTTGGTAAAGTGATAATAGCTGGTGACGTGGGCCCCCTTTATATTGAGGATATTACATCACTGCTTGGTAAGATGTCACATGACCATCCTACCCAACTTTACAGTGTGGTTAGTATCTCCCATAATTCTAGTTGTCCTCTTTAGTTGGCGCGATACGTTAGAATCTCACGCAACTTTAACTGTCCCCAGTAATTGTTACATTAGTATCTCCTGTAACTTGTTTTGTTCTTGTATTTCGTTTGTTACGTGTGTATTCTTGCTCACCTTTATCTCGCGCGAATTTACTTGATCTCTCATTTGGATAGTTCGTAAGTATCTCGCGAAACTTCAGCTGTTCCCTCATTTCAATTGTTACATTTGTATCTCGTGCAACTTAAGCTGTCTTCTTATTTGGATCGTTATGTTTGTATCTCGCGCAACTTTAGTTGTTTTCCTATTTGGATAGTTACGTTATCTCGCGCAATTTTAGCTGTCTTATTTCGATCGTTACGTTTGTACCTTGCGCAATTTTACCTCTCTTATTTCATTCGTTACGTTTATATCGCGCAATTTTATCTGTTTTTTTTATTTGGATTGCTATGTTTGTATCTCGGGCAGCTACAGCTGTCCTCTTATTTGGATTGTTACGTTTGTATCTCGGGCAACTACAGCTGTCCTCTTGTTTGGATTGTTACGTTTGTATCTCGCGCAACTACAGCTGTCCTCTTGTTTGGATTGTTACGTTTGTATCTCGCGCAACTCAAGCTGTCTTCTTATTTGGATTGTTACGTTTGTATGTTGCACAACTCTATCTCGCGCAACGAAATCCTGTTTCTTATTTAGATCGTTACGTTTCTATCTCTTGCTATTTCAGCTGTTTTCTTACTTGGTTTGTTACGTTTGTCTCTCGGCAACTTAAGCTGTCTTCTTATATGGATTGTTACGTTTGTATCTCCCGCAACTTTTGCTATTTTCTTATTTGGATCGATACGTTTTTATCTTTCACAACTCTAGCTGTTTTCTTATTTGCATTGTTACGTTCGTATCTCGCGCAACGAAAGTCTGCTTCTTATTTCGATCGTTACGTTTCTATCTCTTGCTATTTTAGCTGTTTTCTTATTTGGATTGTTACGTTTGTATCTTGCGCAATTTTAGCTGTTTTCTTATTTGGATTGTTACGTTTGTATCTTGCGCAATTTTAGCTGTTTTCTTATTTGGATTGTTACGTTTGTATCTTGCGCAATTTTAGCTGTTTTCTTATTTGGATTGTTACGTTTGTATCTCGCGCAATTTTAGCTGTTTTCTTATTTTGCGCAATTTAGCTGTTTTCTTATTTGGATTGTTACGTTTGTATCTTGCGCAATTTTAGCTGTTTTCTTATTTGGATTGTTACGTTTGTATCTTCGTGCAATTTTAGCTGTTTTCTTATTTGGATTGTTACGTTTGTATCTCGCGCAATTTAAGCTGTTTTCTTATTTGGATTGTTACGTTTGTATCTTGCGCAATTTAAGCTGTTTTCTTATTTGGATTGTTACGTTTGTATCTTGCGCAATTTAAGCTGTTTTCTTATTTGGAATGTTACGTTTGTATCTTGCACAATTTAAGCTGTTTTCTTATTTGGAATGTTACGTTTGTATCTTTGCAATTTAAGCTGTTTTCTTATTTGGATTGTTACGTTTGTATCTTGCGCAATTTAAGCTGTTTTCTTATTTGGATTGTTACGTTTGTATCTCTCGCAATTTAAGCTGTTTTCTTATTTGGATTGTTACGTTTGTATCGCAATTTTAGCTGTCTTCTTATTTGGATTGTTGTTTGTATCTCGCGCAATTTTGTGTTCTTGCACAATTTAAATGTAATTTAAGCTGTTTTCTTATTTTTTAGTTTTCTCTTACGTTTGTATCTTGCACAATTTTAGCTGCTGTATTTTGTTAGCTGTCTTCTTTTTGTTTTCTTATTTGGATAGTTACGTTTGTATTTCGCACATCTTTAGCTGTTTTCCTGTTTGGATTGTAACGTTTGTATCTCGCGCTATTTTAGTTGTTTTCTATTTGGATTGTTACGTAAGTATCTTGCGCAATTTTAGCTGTTGTTACGTTTGTATCTCGCATAACTTATGCTGTCTTATTTGGATTCTTACGTTTGTTTCTCGCGCCGCTTTAGGTGTTTTTTTAATTGGATTGTTACATTTGTCTCTCGCGCAGCTTTAGCTGTCTTCTTATTTGGATTGTAACGTTTGTATTTCGCACAATTATTATTATTATTATTTAGCTGTTTTGTTATCTGGATTGTTACGTTTGTGTCTCAGGCATTTAGATGTCTTATTTGGATTGTAACGTTTGTATCTCGCGCAATTATTATTTAGGTCATTACGTTTGTATCTTGCGCAATATTACCTGATTCCTTTTTTGGATTGTTACGTAAGTATCTTGATCAATTTTAAGCTGTTGTTACGTTTGTATCCCGCGGAACTTATGAGCTGTCATCTTATCTGGATTGTTACGTTTGCTTCTCGCGCAGCTTGAGCTGTTTTCTTATCTGGATTGTTACGTTTGTATCTTGCGAAACTTTAGATGTCTTCTTATTTGGATTGTAACGTTTGTATTTCGCGCAATTATTATTTAGATCATTACGTTTGTATCTTGCGCAATATTATCTGATTCCTTTTTTGGATTGTTACGTAAGTATCTTGCGCAATTTTAGCTGTTGTTACGTTTGTATCCCGCGGAACTTATGAGCTGTCATCTTATCTGGATTGTTACGTTTGCTTCTCGCGCAGCTTGAGCTGTTTTCTTATCTGGATTGTTACGTTTGTATCTTGCGAAACTTTAGATGTCTTCTTATTTGGATTGTAACGTTTGTATTTCGCGCAATTATTATTTAGATCATTACGTTTGTATCTCGCGCAAATTTAGCCGTCGTCTTATTTGGATTGTAGCCTTTGTATCTTGCGCAATTTTAGCTTTTTAGTATCTCTTGTAAGTTGTCTTATTTGCATTGTTACGTTTGTATCTCGCGCAATTTAAGCTCTCTTCTTACCTTAGCTGTCTTCTTAGTTAGATTGTAACGTTAGTATCTTGCCCAAATTTAGCTGTCTTTTTATATGGATTGTTAAGTATGTATCTCGCACAACTTAAGCTGTCTTTTTCTTTCGATCGTTATGTTTGCATCTCGCGCAATTTGACATTTTCTCTTATTTGGATTGTTACGTTAGTTTATCGCGCAACTATAGCTGTTCTCAAGTCTCATTTTGATTGTTACGTTAATATCTCGCGCAATTTTAGCTCTTCACTTTTTTCGATTGTTACTTTAGTATCTCGTGTAACTCAAGCTGTCCTTTTTGTTGGTATTTTTCTTGGTCTTAGGCTTACTGTGTTTCTGTGGGATTTTTCTTTTCAGGAAGTCAAAGTGATTTTGAGTGAGTTGCTGAGGATGTGTCAGACTTACTCCAGAGCTCTTCTTTATCTACTTTCTTTATCCCAAGTTTTTCCAGTGAAACTGTGAGTTACTTTCCTGTTTTTTTTTTCTTGATAGTTTGACACCCAAAAAGTAACAACCAGTTTTCTTCATCAGTTAGTCTGTCATACGAGTGAAGATGCAAAGTCAGCTCGGTGAGAAAGCTACCGGAGACCTCTTGCTTCTCTCCCCAGTGTTCCAAGGCTATAACCTTCGGGGCTGATTCGTTTAAAGGGCAGATAACTGTGTTGATCGTGCAAATCGTCATCCTCCGGATAAGTGTGAACAGAACGTACTGCCGCATTATCCACCGTGTAGCGATTTTTCCAACCGGGGCCAGGCCTTGAAACTGAGACTTTAGCTTAATACTAAATAGATTACCGCGCGGAGAGATCGAAAAAATATGGCGAAATTAAACCAGCTAACAAAGTTGTTCTCGACATAAACGTCTGAAATAGTATTACTGAGTGAAATTTTGTTCCTCCAAGAATTTTCAGCCATCTCCTCTTCCTTCCTCTTATTCCTCTTCTCAATTTCTCTTTCATTTCTCAGTATTTTTTTAAATATCCTTAATTCGCAGATTATTCCCTACTTGTTGTACTAACACAGAAAAAAATTTCCAAAGGCACTGATGTATTATGGTCTTTGGTAAAGCTTGTTATTTTAATATTCATAACTTGCAGATCTATCTCTCACATTCCAACAATCACGTGTACTTTCGGTCGAGGATGAAATGGCTAACGATGCGAAATCTCTGCGTAATTTTGCTGTGAGGAAAACAACTATTGACAATTTTTCGTCCAAACTCATCTTTGGTCATGACATGGTACGTTTTCTTCAACTTGGGCAGAATAAGCGCCGTGGTAGAACAGGACGAAAGACAAAAGGAAGCACGCTCAACTTCCAACTGTTACCTTTGTTGGAGACCTCTTCTAGAAAGGTATTTTAAAATGACTAGCTTATGCATTGATATTTTATCTTAGTTACCCACTTCAAAAACGTATTTTTAATATTTAATGATTTGTGCCTTTAAGTTTTCCACGTTAAAGAAGGTTTCGAATTCTTTAATTTTATGCACAAAAGCGCCATTGATATGGTATAATTTATTCTAGCTTCAGAAGCGATTTCTCAAGGATCTCGACCTTTGCACTTTCATGATTCCGCCTTAGTTTGTGAAGAAGTTATACTGATCTAAGAACATGGTTTTATTGTTTTTCACGCTTTCATGTTTAGGGGATATTCAATTTTCTTGCTGCTTACCATGAAATTTGTTTTAATTTCACTGAATTTTTGGAAAACGTTTGGTTGTGTTTATTGTATATTTTTGAACCAAAAAAAAAAACTTTGATGATTTTGTATCTCATGAGGCCAAAATGTCCCGCTAAAATTCCATAACGCCTACTACATTTGGCACCATTTAATTTGCATTTGGGTTCACACGCGGATCGTCCATCTTCTATGAACTGTAAGATCCCTTTACAAAAATTCGCGTCCATTTTGGCTCCAAACTTTGTACCTTTTCAGGTTATTCTTAGACAACCAAAAATTGCGAAAGTACTGAGGCTGAAAAAGAAAATCGAGTTAAATTTCATGTCGTGAAGAATAAAAAACCGATAACCAAATAAACAACGCTGCTACGGTTATGATGATGTCACGTCAGAATTCTTGTTTTCCCTTGGGTGTTTCTTGTAGTACAAAGAAATGTCGAGATCCTTCTAGAAAGAAAATAATTACTCTACCAAGCGTGCGGCAATTTGCAAAAGAAGGTTAAATAAAATTGTGTTTGAAAAGAGTTCAACGTGTCTGTTAATGTCAGGAAAGTAATGTAACTAGACAACGTATTGCATGTTATTTACGGCTCACTACCGGTAGTTTACCTGCTATTGTTGGCGACTGGTTGCGAGAAAATTTAAGTGATGATAAATATTACAAGTGGTAATTAATCAATTGGGTTGAATGGAAGCTTAAGCGGGAAGATGTATTTTTGTAATATAGCTTTATTGTGTAAGTTGTTATGGAAAATGTATTTGTTAATTCTTTTGTTTATGTGCTCTTGCAGCTTATTGAATGGCGGATAACTGAAGTCACAATCAGTTATCAATACTTCAGGATAAAGGTCCTGCAGCCCAAAGACAAGTTCAATGCAGAGGTAGAAAATAAATTTTAACAGAACTCAATTGCGTCAAGATTGATTATTTGATTTTGGGAAGATTTAGTTTTCTTATCGACCTAAAACATCTTTTCTGCTTGTTAGCATCAGGTGTTTCGAATTCAAGACAAGATTTGCTTAGTAACTGCCCTCGATTTTTTTTTTCATTTAAGAATTCAGATGACATCCCTCGAAAATGTTTTTAATTTTCCTGCCTGCTAGTAACAGCCCTCCATTTTTTTTTTCCATTTTAGAATTCAGGTGACATCCCTGAAAAATGTTTTTAATTTTCCCGCCAAAATACGGGGCGCTTAAAATACGCATGCGCCAGATTTTTTTCTTTTTTTTTTTGGAAGAGCTGTAAGTAACATCCGGTTAAAATGGCGTAATTTTCCCGCCAAAAAACTTAGAAAAATACAGGCGCCCAAAATACGCATGCGCCGATTTTTTTTTTTTTTTTAAAAGTGTGTTTAAGACTCCATATCTTATTACTTTTATATTTCCATGTTGTTATTAAATAAAGTCAATAAACTCGACAGTTTTCACTCATTTCTTTTGTGATCTTTATTTTCAAACATTCAATAAACAGTAATACAAGTCTTAAAACTTCCACTTCTTTAATTAGTTAAGTTAATTTCCATTGATTAATCAAAAAGATGTTGAGAAATATATACTAAGACTTTTGGCGGGAAAATTTAGTAGAATTTGCACAGAGTTTCCCCTGGGAACATTTTCAACAAAAAATTCAAAATGGCTTCCCTTGAATTTTTCCGCCAAAAAAATGTCAATATCACCTTGCGCAAAAATGTCATTGCAAAAGATTGTCAAATAACCTTTCTTTCCAGATAGCTTTACACAATTGCAGTTTACTTCGTTATAAAGGTCAATTTTTCAATCAACAATCTTTGAACCATTTTGGTCTAGAGAATTTTTTGCGCAAGATGATATGAACATACTTCTATGCTACCAATACTCAAAATGGCAAGCTAAACAAAACACTCTAAAGCTTGCCATGTTGCCGAGAAAAAGATCTTTGTCAGCCATTTATTAGGTTTTTGTCAGTGGCACAGGACAAACATAACGCCTAAAATGGATCAGAATTTTGCAGCCAAAATGAGTTTTGTTCTTTTTTTTTCTTTAGTGGCAAGGGTTTAGATGGTCATATACTTTCTTGGCCCCACGTTTCTTTTTAAGTAACTTTGTCAAGATCTTGGTCGAGTAAAATTTTATTCTCCACCATTAAAATCATCAATTCAGCTTTCGAACTTAAAAATTGTTTTAAGTCGTGTTTACAATAATTGTTGGCTGATAAAGATCTCTTTACTTTACAACTAAGACAATAAAACTCAATGCCTGATTCAAGGAATAATATGAAAGAAAACTCATTTTAAGCGCAATTTTACATTCAATGACGAAGTTTTGCAACAAATTATACAGACCACAAAAACATTTCTATTTACTATTGTTGTTCAAGAAATTTCCAAGAAACAGAAAACTTAGCAGATAGTATCCGACAATTTTTGTATGGTGATTCACGTTTGGTTTGTTCAGATTACATAACATCTTTTTCAAAGTAGGACGACAATTTACATTTTTAACATTCTGACAACTTACGTTTTTTTCGAAAACCAATATAAAGGTAGATATATAATGGTAATTGAACTGAGTGGAGTGCAGTTTGGGCTGAAATCATACGCGTGATTTCAAAATTGAACGAGCGCGCAGCGCGAGTTCAATTTGAAATCACAAGTATAATTTCAGACCAAAATTGCACAACACGAGGTTTAATTACCACTTTATTACATCCTTTTTGAAATCGCCCAAATACAGGACTTGGTCAGTTCAAATATTTATTACTACAATACTGAGCCAGTTTGGAATTAAAGTCATCCATTTTTTGGGAGGAAAAAATAAGAGTTTTGGAAACAAAAGTTGCAAAATTTGCCGCATGATCCTTCATGTCTTTCATCTTCCTGCAATTTGATCGGTTACTTTAAACAAGCCTTGAAGTCTGATTGGTTGTTTTGTTTTTAGTGTAGCCTCCTCTTCAACTGGAAAAAAGATGCGATTTAAAGCAAAAAATGGTGCAATTCGTGAATAAATCGCGCCAATTAGAGCCAATCAGATTACAGGGACCACCAGTGATTTCAAAATGGGTGTAATAAATACTCATAACTTTGAAATGAGTTCGCTGTAGATTACGTGCAAGAACTGAATTCGTGATAAAACATTTCCTTTTTTCTGAAACTTTTGCAAACCGAATTGAATGCAGCTTCCACCTTTTTTTCGATTGAATTTGACAAAAATTATTTCCTTTTGATGAATTTATGATGTGAAAGATCAATCTTGATTGCTTTCAACGTTTCTTAGAACCACGACCAAGAAGGACTTGATGGTGTATTATGGCGCTCTCGAGTTTTAAAACAATTTTTTCGTATAAACATGATCAATGCTCTGGTCTGTATAATTGTAAATAAACATTTCTTTGAACCATACATTTGAGTTTTACACATAGAACTTGCAAAACCACAAGAGAACTTTGGCGTATAGGTTTTTTGACCATTTTTTTTAACAAGTAGCGATTCGACAATCATACTTTAACTGGGAGTAAACAGTGAAAATTTGTTGTAACACGTCTGACTGATTGGTCATTGTTATTGTGATTGAATTGAGTGTAAAATCCGCGTCGTTTGTCAGTTGTGACTGATTAGTGTGATTGTTCATTCAGTTCGTTTCCTTTGTTATGTTTATGTCGAAAATAAATTTTGTAGGGTTTATTCTGTTGACATCAAAAAAGGGGCTTTGCTTGAAAATAAATCACCCTCATTAGTCAGTCGTTGAAAAATGTCTCAGAATTTAGACTGAATTTTTGGCAATGTGCCAGGCAATGGTGCTAGTCTTGTGTTATATCTACAGCTAGTTACAGTTTATAAAAAGCCCAGAAGTCGAAACACTTGTTCAAGTAAACCGCGCTGTCTGTTACTAGTTTCATCTTTGTCTACAACATTGGTCATTCTACGTCATGTTCTTTGTAAAGATGTAAAGTCAGCCACATGGTGTTGGACTGCTCGCTATTAGAAGTATGGTCAATGTAGTCGTAGCAGTCTAGTTCAGTTAGCGTTCGCTTCAGTAAGTTCAGTACAGTGTCATTTGCGTCTAATTTGAATGATGTGGTAGTCGCAGTTTTTGTAAAAAACCACGACATCTTAACTTGTTTTGAACGTTTAGGTCCATGATGCCTTGCGAACTAGTTGTTCTCGTCTCGTTAGTTCCTAACTGTCGTATCTTTGTGTGATTTGTGATGGTAGGATGATGTGTATAGAAATACGTCAGCTGGTATTCATTGATTTTTTTGTAAACGGTCTAGACAAGTCATTGTTACATCCTTAAATTTTTTCGCGAACTTAACGTCAGCGTTCTGTTCGTCATTGTGTGCGGCGTCAATGTATCGTCATCCCAGCGCAAGCCAAGGAACGTAGCTTTTGTTTTAGGCAAATAAATGGATGATTTTTAATTTTGATTGCCATTGTTCTCTTGTTGATTGCAAGATTGATGAAGAAAATGTGTGAATATTTCAAGTTGGCACTGAATATTGTAAAGACAAAGTTTGACCAGACTACTCGTTTGGAAAGTTGAATATTTTTCAACACAAAAAATTTAGAAAACCAAAACAATTCCATGCTGTGCAAACGTTTGAATGATAATAGAAAAAGGGCGATTTTAGCTTTTTTTTAAAGTTCAGACTTTTTCCTCAAAATACCATCTGTCTTGCATGCAGTGCCATCCTAAAAAAATCACTCAAATAGTGGCTGCCATCGTCACCTATGGCCTAGTCTTTTGAAGAACTGCACTCCTACTTCTTTTAAACCAAGTCTGTCTTGTTAATCTTGACCTCGATATGAAATTAAATTGATCGAGGTTCCTTAGAAAATTTAGAAACAGACAGCCACCATCCTCACTATAACTTTAAGATAACGTTATAAAGTTCTTATCTTAGTGGAGTGTGCTCTTGATTCAGTGATTCCGGTTTGTCCTCTTGAATTCTTTGTTCTTTTCGCTGAAGGAAAACGAGAAAAACAATTTTAAGTCGGTTGACAAGTTCCTAGCTTTACACATAGTTCAGTTACAGCTGCACAAGCGAGGACGACTATAGCGAGCTGGTAGAATATTTAAGACGCTCAAACGATATTCCTAGTAGTAAAACGAAGGTTATTTTAGAGATATAGTTACGACAAAAATTCAAACGCACTTGACTGCGTAACACGGTAAAAGTTTCAACTAGTGAAGAGCGTATGCTTCTTCTTCTTCATGAACGAAATGAGCGTCGGTATTTGAGAGAAAAGCTCAGAGTCATAGGTAAACCGAAAATGCTCCTGTTCAATAACCTTGCATTTTCTTCCTTTAAAATGGACATTAAATAAAACTGTACAACAGCAATGCTCACCTTACAATATCACTAAGCTTCAGTCCCATTCCAACATCAAACACGTTCTTGGTACAGACTGCTCTCACCGACAGTAACACGTCCACGACCTGTTTGGTTTGAGAGAAATTCAGAATTCGCTGTGAATATCGAAGATGGAAATAAACCAATCACTGATGAGTACGTCACAATTAGCACAAGATTCTTGTTTCCACGCGCTCTAAAGGAACGTATCAGAAACCTCTACTGAATTAATTCCATTGGTTACTGCATTACGCGTGTTCTTCTTTAACTCAGTCCCTCGTGTTCTTAAAAAAAATTGAAACTAAATATTTAAAAAGATAAACTCGATGAAAAGATGACATCCGCAACTAAGGAGTTCACTAAACTCAGAAAAATATTTATAAGCAATAGCTTAGTGGAAAAAAAATCATCGGAAAGAAAAAAGTTAACAAATAAATCAAGCAAAAAATGCCTAAAGATTATTTACAAAATTGACATCACATGGGAAAAGGAACGAATCATCGCTAATTCAGAAAAAATTGTAAAAAATAAATCAAACATTAAAACGGCAAGTTCCCTGGAACAAGATTTCCATCCTGACTGGAACTGTTTTCGCGGTAGAATGCTCTACCCACTGAGCTGTGGGGAACTTTTAAAATTATATATAACAAGAATTCTACGGAACACGAGGAAAAAGTGCACAGGGATTATGTGGAAAATTGTGTGTTTTGACTCTAAAATGACTTTGTTACAAAAACCTTGCTGTGTTATTTGTTTAATGTTTAAATTCAGCAGCGTTCTGATGCATGTCATCAAATAAGAGTGCAGGAAAAGGTAAAACTTGCCTATAAATGGAAGAAAACCTTTTCCAATGTAATGAAGTGAGAGATGAGTACAAAGATATACTCCAGACTATTTATAAGCTTACTATAAAATGGAGAAAGAAACAAATCATCGGAAAAAAAGAAAGATTAAAAAGAGAAATCAAACAAAATAAAAACGGCAAGTTCCCCGGAACAGGATCTCCATCCTGACTGGGACCGCTTTCGCGGTACAATGCTCTACCCACTGAGCTGCGGGGAACTTGCCATGAATGGAGAGCAAATTTTAAGATTATATGTAACAATTGGAGTACTTACTGCGAGGAACAAGTACTCAAAAACTCTGTGGAAAACGGAGAATTTTGTTATTTAATTTAATTATGTTCAGATGCAACAGCGTTTCGATCGATGCATGTCCTAAATGTGAAAGTGAAGGAAAAGGTGAAACTCGGCCAATAGTTGGGAGAAAACATTCGCCAATGTAATAAATTGCAATGGACTAGCATACAAAGACGATCCAGATAACTCATAAGGTTGGAAAAAGTGGGAAAAGGAACGAATCATCCCCAAAAAGATCGTAGATCAATCAAAAAGAAAACGGCAAATTCCCCGGAACAGGATCTCCATCCTGACTGGGACCGCTTTCGCGGTACAATGCTCTACCCACTGAGCTGCGGGGAACTTGCCATGAATGGAGAGTAAATTTTAAGATTATATGTAACTGGTGGATCATGTAATACCAAAAATAAGTGCACAGAGATTATGTGGAAAATTGTGTTTTTTGATTTAAAATGACTTTAGTGCAAAAACCCTGCTGTCTGATTTAATAACGTTCCAAATTAAGCAGCGTACCGGTGCATGTCCTAAATTCTTAGAGTGAAGAAAAAGGCAAAGCTTGGCCAATAAGAGGAAGAGAACCTCAACCAATGTTATAAAGTGCAAAAGACGAGCGTAGAAAGACGACCCAGATAACACATGCATGTTAGACTGGCAAAAATGGGAAAAGGAACGAAACATTGTAAATAAAAAAAAAAAAAAAAAAAAAAGGCAAGTTCCCCGGAACAGGATCTCCATCCTGACTGGGACCGCTTTCGCGGTACAATGCTCTACCCACTGAGCTGCGGGGAACTTGCCATGAATGAAGAACAAATTTTAAGATTATATGTAACGAGTGGAGCCCGTAACGCAAGGAACAATTGCACAGAGATTATGAGGAAAATTGTGTGTTTGAATCTAAAATGACTTTTTTAACAAACCTTTGAGTTTTATTTCATAATGTTAAAAATAAGCAGTGTTTCGATGCATTTGCTAAATTTAAGATTGTAGGAAAAGCTAAAACTTGGCTAATGTTATAAAGTGAAAGACGAGTACAAAGATACACTCGAGACTATTTATAAGCTTACTATTTAAATGGAGAAAGAAAGAAACCGTCGGGAAAAAAAGAAAGATTCAAAGAGAAATTAAACAAAATAAAAACGGCAAGTTCCCCGGAACAAGATCTCCATCCTGATTGGGACCGCTTTCGCGGTACAATGCTCTACCCACTGAGCTGCGGGGAACTTGCCATGAATGGAGAGAAAATTTTAAGATCATATGAAACAAGTGAAGCACGTGCTGCAAGAAAGAAGTAAACAAAGATTTTTTGGGAGAAGTGTTTTGATCTTGAAATGACATTTTAACAAAAACTTCGTTGTTTGATTCATTTATGTTCAAATTCAACGGCGTTCTTGAAATTAGGAGCCGGAAAATCTCATTTCCATGGCCTTTTCCCTAACTTGGGGGTGGGGCACCCCACCCTCAAGTTAGGGAAAAGGCCATGGAAATGAGGTTGGGAGCCGGAAGCAAAAAGTAAAACTTGTCAATAACTGGAAGACAACATTTGCTAATGTGATGAAGTGAACTCAAGATTTATTATAAGCTTATGATAAAATGGGGAAAGGAATGAATCATCGAAAAAACAAAGAAAGATTAAAAAAGGAAATCAAACAAAAAAAAAAAACGGCTTGTGAAAGGTTAAATTTTGAGATCATATGTAACAAGTGGAGTACGTACTTCAAGGAACAAGTGTACAAATATTTTATGGAAAAAGAGTTTTGTTACTAAAATGACATAGCTTCAAAAACCTTGTTGTTTGATTCAATAATGTTCAAATTTAGCAGCGTTCTGATGCACGTCCTGCATTTGAGAGTGTTGGAAAAGGGCCAAAAAGTGGAAGAGAACCTTCTCTAATGTAATGAAGTGAAAAAACGGGTATACAAAGACACTCCAGACTATTTACAAGCTGGCTATAAAATGAGAAAACTAAGAAAAAAACTTTTAAAAAAAAATTAAAACAGGAATAAACCAGATACGTATTTTAGTTATGATTTAACTGGCTGAAAGAAATGTAACCTATGTAGTTCGTACTCAGACCGCTCTCTTTCTGGATGTATGAGGAGCCCTGGGAATAAAATTAAGAGAAAGAGAGGTGTCGTTTCAGCTCTTCACGTAAGTGGCTTTACGAATTTTTCCTTTCTTTGAAATGCCTTACTTACTTATAATGATTGCCTGATATGTTCTTGTTTGATCTTTTTTAAAAATGTGGCACATTTCATGTACTTGGAATTTCTTAATGCAGTAAGGATAACTTAAAACTAACCCTTTAAGTCCCGTTGGCGACCAAGACAGAATTTCTCCTTACTATATCTACACAATATCATGCAGACAAGTGATGAGAATTCGAAAAATATCAATTATGCGATTACTAATTGATCCGATACCAAATTCTCCCAAATAACATAATGAGAATCGTTTGGCAGACAGTAAGGAGAATTACTAATGAGATCTTGGGAGCTAAAGGGTTAACGACTTAGCCCGCGATGCGCTCTACGTTAACAAGGTCGACCTAGATTTAGTACATCATAATTTAAAACTGTTTGACGTTAACGATGCTCGGCAGATTTATGCACGATAAGTATCTACTTTCGATTACTTGAAAAACTGACCCATAATTTTTTGTGTGAATATTACTGGTTTTCAAAGTTACGCGTACTCTCTTTCATGACCCCGGCAAAGGAGGCAAAAAGACATCGTTTTTTTGGAGAAATTTATACTTACAGGTGACCGTAAACCCGCCCTATATGTTGCAGAGGAAACTGAGAAGGGACAAGAGTCGAGTTTTTATGTTTGACTGAGAGATACAATCCGAGCGATTATTAAGCGACTATTTCACGCGAATGTCCCAATGATTCTCGTCAACAAACGACTGGATTACTGTCGGGAGAAATTCTGAGGTCGCATAACTTTGAACACCGCTCTTAATATCAAACCGTATTTTTGAATTGAAAACGTTTTTTTGAAAAAAATAAAAAAAAACAATAAAATCATTTGCGCCATTTACCTCAGTTGTTTGGACAGTAGAAAAAATCCAATCTTACGTTGAGTTGGTAGAACAAAACAAAACAGACCACTTATTCGGCTTTCATATTCAGATAAAAGGCTTGGGTCATAAACGTGGAAAACAGCTGCGCTAAAGCTCTCGCTCAAGAATAACTTAAAACGACCAATAATTTTGTCGAAGGGGAACTTTGCTACAACGCAAAACCATATTTCAGTCAGTTCACTTCTCTTTGAGTGTAATTTGTTGTTTTGTTTGTGTTTCGTCAAGTTGAGGTCTCAAAAACTCTGACAGCAGCTGGCATCTGATTGGCCATTTCTGAAAGAGATGAACAAAATTAAAGGTCCAGTGAGATTACATGAATTTGAAAGCCAGCAAGGAAAATTAGTCAGAAAACGTGATAAGCCCACAGCCTATGGGGGGGGCTGTCTTTCCATTTCCCTTGAGTTGACCAAGAGTAAAGTAAAGGCGAACAGGAAAACCAAGCAAACGAAAATCTCCCTTTCGTCCCATGACTTCACGTGACTCCGCACGCTCATCTCACACTTCTCCCGTTGGACTTGATGGAAAAAGCAGAGTACTGACTAACTTTATTCTCCTCCTCCATGAAAGTCCGCTTAACGTCACTCAAATGGGGCTTCTCGTTTTCTAGGTCAACAATTCCAAGAGAAAAATGAGGGTACACAGGAGTTGGTTCAGGATCCCATGGATAGCCTTGAAGAAATTAAGAAGTCTTTTCACCGAAACGTTTTACAAGGATGACATGGATCAGTTCTTCTGAGTGAAAAAATATAACAAGCTGCAGTGTGGAGATAATTTTGTCGATGCAGAAAGGAAAGGAAATGTTTTTTGTTTTGTTTTGTTTTGGTTTGATATGAGTGAACATTCACTAAGCGAACGTTTGTGGGAGAGGACTTCCGTTACCGTGAAAAAATGACAATTAAAAAATGGCAATGGACATATCTTCGCCCAAGCCATGACTGTGGCTCTCTGTTCCCCGATCGGAAGCCCTCCATTATTTTAGTGAGTCGTTTCTTGTGGTGACGGAGGACAGTACAGGACACCTTGCCCGCAACCCGTCCCAATGAAAGTCAGCGCCATGTTCCTGACATTAACAACTTCGAGATGAGACTATTTTCTGAGCAAAGGAACATTGCATATCTAAATATGTTCGTAGAGAGAAAAATAATTGGTTCTTCGTTTCTCTTGTTCATCATACCAGACGAAGAACAAAGGAATAGGAAAATAAAGCTTTTATCCCTTATCCCCATGCCACGAATCCCTCTCCGCTTTACTGTTTAACACTCTTTCTTCTCAGCATGCAGAGTCGGATCCAAGGAGAGGAGGGGAGGGTCTGAGGTCCGTACCGACCAACACCACCCCTCCCCCCACCCTTGCCCTTATCATAACTGTAGGCATTTTTTACGACGAGGCTGACACCAAAATTATTGCAACAACAGTATTGCATGTTACAACTTGGTATCAAGTATTTAAGATGTACTTCTCTTGAAATATATCTTATGAAGCTAATAGTGTAAAAGGGTTGGTTCATTTTCGTCGAGTCATATAATGGCGCTGTTTCGTGTGGACACTTCAGCATATTTGATTACTTGACCTTTTCAATCCCACGATCTAGTCATCAATTCTCCGTTCAGTCTGTCCTACATTTTGTATACTTTTAGCTTTGAGAATTTGGTATTTAATCAAATAATACCACTTGATTTACATTTTCTTCATCCTCATCACATTTCTGCTTGATATCATATTTTTGTGACGATGGAAAATCTTTTTTCGTCATTCCAGGTAGCGTAAGGAGTGACAGCATTGCGGTAAAAGGGTCAAAACTGATGTACTACATCTCTCAAATACTCTGCCGCCAGGAGTTTGTTTATCCGCTCTCTGTAATTCACATGTCCATGAATCCAAATTCTAAGATTTGCTATGACTTTCGTAAAAATATTCGGCTATTTGGCTGGTTTGCTAAAGAAAATTACCTGAGAATCCGCCTTAATTTCCGTTCGATCGATCTTCAAAGTTAACCGCTTGTAGTGAAAAACTGAAAGCGTTGAACGCCAGCCATTTATCAGATGATTTTGTCTCCCTAAATATAAACTCAAAAAACGAAAATAAACTACTTTCTCGATGATTTTTCCAAATGTCTTAAAGCTCTGTTATCGCACTTTTTTCATATCATCTTGTTTTGAATAACTTCAAACAATGAAAACTCATTAGTTCAATAAACTTTGTCGCTTTCCAAAGTGTTTTTTTATCTTCTTCATTTCCCTATCTTTGCATCGTCACGAAAGCGTGGAAACATCGCTTAAAAAACTCCTGTGTCAAACGGGAAACATCTTAGTCATAACAACATCAATTTTTATCTTTTACCGACAAGTTTTGAACAAAGTTAAGATTCTACAGCAGCGTGCCGTACTACTCATGGTTTTCTCATTTTGAGAGCCCTGAAAGTGCCGCGGAAAGCTGATTGCCCTACAAAATGTTTACATAAGTAGTTATTTACGCTTCAGTCAAGATCGTTAGACTCAACGAAGAACATCAGTCAATATAAAAAGTTGCCGACCACGAACGTAGACTGTTTACACGAACCCCCGACGTTTGGAGCAAAATAAACATGCCTGTTGTGATTGGAGTTTAGCACTTCATTTTGTCACAGAGATGATTTCCTTGAATAACAAATTCGCGAGCTGAGCGCTCATTCATATCCCTGATCGCAATTAAGGTGAACACGAGATCAAGGGAAGGTAATGTACACTTTCAGAAGAATTTTGATGCTTGTGACATTTACAAAGAGCGCTCTTACCTCAATGAAAGGACGGAACATGCCACATTTATCCTCCACCTTGTGCGGCAAAGAGTCTTCTTCAGCTTCGCACGTACCGTTATGCAGCACATCGCGGAGATGAGAGATGTAATCGATCGCCAATAACAGGATATTGAGCCTCGGTAACTTAGTATCAGGTGGAACTTGAGGCAGCGTTTTCTGCAGTTTTAAGTACGCCCTCTTCATATTCTGCGCTCGGACCCTCTCGCGAAGCGCATTAGCTGACGGCGTGTCCGAACTTCCCTTCCGACGCCTCGTTGGTAGCTGTTTATCTGTCGTGGGCACAATTGTGGAGGAAAACTTTCCCATGGTTTACCACAAGCTTGTACTACTAATAGCTTTGTATCCTCGTTCCCCGTTAATAGCTGCGGTGGTGACTATGTAATTCGTCTTCCGTCTGGTTAGTGCATCCTGTGCGCGCTGTGGAACACAATCCCTAAATACCTCCCAGTTCGAGTAAAACGCACTGAGAGTTACAATATTCATACGTGTGCAAAGACTTGATAACGTGGCTAATTAAATCTAGATAGCGACAGCCGCCTGAGGATCAGATGTTATCCTGACTGTGATGAGATGCCTAGTGCATTCGTGATTTGGCTTTCAGTCTCACTGTAACGAATGGCCTAAATTATTTATAAGTGATGGTTAATTACCTTTGCGTGAAGTTTAGTTAACGCTGCAGTTTGCTGATGAGGTTTTTATTGTAGCGCAATAAATTTGCAATATTCTTGTCGAAATTGAGAGATCTGCTTTCGAGAAAAAAACGAATGTTCCATAGGCATCAACAACGATGAGGAAAAGCGATCGATTTATCATTAAATGCTCTCAACAGCTGGTCACATCCAACTTTCTGCGGAACTGTATTCAATGACCCTGAACGCGAAGTACGTTTTTAGAACGCGATTAGGTAAGTTTCAGGAATGGATTCTACGGCTGGATAATTTTCGTTATTCAAAAAAAGGGACTATGGAAGGGTAACACAAATTGCCCAGTCGTAAATTTGTTGAAAAACAAAAGTGGATAATTTTAAAAGGATAATCTTATCGGAATAAGCCGCTACCGAACAAATTACAAATGACCGCAAAGACGGCAATTACTGGAAGCATCTGAACCACATGTGAAATTTACATTGTTCGTTGTTATACTCCCTTATTTTCATCTGTTTTTCTGTACTTTTGAAGGATGTTTCTAGAAGGGAATTCAACTGAATTCAAATGCGTTTTATATCTCTAATTAATGATTTTGAGCGCAGCCCATCACTTGACGCAAAGGTGCAAAGCCTTCTGTTTTACTTCACATCAAGATTGGATCTTTTGTTACTTTAAATACCAGAAATTGATCCTCTCAGTCGTTCCATATAACCTGCAATATCAACCAGAGATCTGCGCAAGGAGCTTTTATAGTAAAAACCAAGAATTCGCAGTCTTGAGAAATGGAGGGTAGAACTTTGGAGGACGGAACACTTTATCCCATCTTCCTCATTCCGCGTTACTTTTTCTTTTCGTCGCTTAGCATTGATCAGAACTGACTTTCCATGCTGTTCAGGTTATCCTTGAATGAGCATTTTTTCGAAAAAATTTCCCAATTTTTTAAGGAGTCTACTGATCTAGTCGGACAGGTAGCTACTGGACTCTTTTTGAGAATAGAGCGGCCATATCGGCCAGTTCTAACCAATAGTAAGCGCCCTTAGAATTAAGCTTTAATGATTAGCCAGTTTATCAAATGAACAGTTGTAATGGAGAAACCTAATTTTAAGTCTGACTACATGAATAAGGAGAACCTGCTAACAAAACGAATCAAAGTCTGGAAAAAATACTTCCTAGTATTACACGATCAATACCGCACGTACATGCAAGCATTTCGACTTTCTCTATTCTGTGACTTAATGATCTCAGGCTCTAATCACCCTGCCGAGCATATGTGAAATCAATTAATGCTTTTGCGTTGACAAGTCGGCTCCCGAGACATCATCCATCATACGCGCAAATTTGCGACAAATGTTTGACCTTATTGAGGAAGATTGAATTCACGCCAACATCACCACTTAGAAAGCAAAAAGAGATATGTTTCGAATATAATTTCGACATCCTTTAAATAGCGAATTCAGTTTTCTGTTTTTAACGTCTACTTCTGAAATCTATTAATGACTATATAGCTATGGAACTGCTAGAAAATTCTTCCGATTTTCATTGGAGAAGTACCCTGGTTAAAAGTTTCATTGTTCTATGTTCATGGCATGTGGACGAGCAAAGATGTTTGCATTCTTAAATATTTTTTTATTTGACCCGTGACACCGCTGATGGTCTGACGATTCAATTAAGCCATCATTATTCTGACAGACAGGAAGTGATGAGCATTACTGAGGCGAAGTTTCTTTTCTGGTGCTTCTTGCAGCGCGAAGTGGGTGGTTTCTGAAAAGTCCAGCTTACACAACATAACAGAACGAAGGATAGAACGGTTATATAATGTAGAAACATGGCAATACTTAAGCGAAAGGTCGTTCAATGGATAGACAAGATACCACAGAAAGATCAAGTTGGTTTCACAAGAGTATCAGCTAAATTTTCTTCAAAAAGGAAAAGTCTCGAAAAAGTAATGAATTGAGTTTAAGAAGCGTTAATTCTGTTTGTTCAATTCGGAAAACATTTCTCAAGGCTCCTCTTTCTAAGAGTATAGTTTGGTGTCATTGGTATGACACCAAATTCTCAGCTAACAAAGTGGCGAGGACATGAATGTTCAAAAGCTAAGAGGCAAAGCCCTAAGAGCTTTGGAATGTGTGGTTTGAAAAATACCTAGTCAGCAAAAACAAGTATATTGCAGTTCAACAGTAAGGCGAAACAGTTCTCAGGTTCTTCCTTCTTAAATTTCACTTTAGTTTTACTTTATTACAATACGCTGAGATACAATAACTTTCTCTTCTGCAGGGTCAATTTAACCTGTTAAAGGCTTTCTAGAGACGAGCCTATAGTGGTATGAGCAAAATAAAAACCAGAGGGTTGGGGAACTAAAAACGCCATCGACTATCTCTTGCCTGCACTTTCGATCTTCACACCAACTGATAGTCTCATATACACTAAGTTAATTTAGTGCTCTCTGCTACATGTACATACCCACTCAGTCAGGTTCGGTTCTGCCGTTTTCTCGAGTCCAGTCCACGATCTACCCGAAAAAGAATCATTCACTGAACAACGGCTCCCATTCGCAAACATTCTGTTTCATTGATCATCAAACGTTTTTCCTTGCGAGCAACAAATTTGGAGAACGTATGGGTCAAAAGTGTCTTAAATTTCTCTCCAACCGATGTTACTGATGAAAGCTCAAAAACTTGACTCTTCTCGGCTGAGCAAAACTGAACCTATTTTAGCCTTAGTTTAGTTTAAAAAGGATCTTGGTTTATCATGCTTTAGAAATGTCGTGTTTCAGTTCTTACTATCATTAAAAGAGCATTTCATTGTTTTTCTAACGCATATTATCTTACATAAAGTTAAACTGAGCTCCACACAAATCAACATAAACGATTTCCTTTCGGTCCGTAAAAAACTAAACGACTTTGAACTGGAAGCAGCTGTTGTGCTCAGCAACACGCTATAGCAAGTCAGTGAGTCAAGAAAGTCTGGTAAACATAAAAATGCCAAGAAAATGAAGGTTGTACGTGGTTGAAAGCGTCGATGTGTTACTGTATGATCCACACTTATGAAAGGTTCTTCATATTTCTATTTTAAACCTGCGTTTTTTTTTACATAAATGCCAGACAGTATTACAATGAGCGTGGATATCTGTTAATTTAAAACGTGATAAAATTGTTTCGTCCTATCAATGCTCTCGCCTCCAAGAATAAGTTGTCCTTACTGTCTAATGTACAGTTAGTGTAATTTCGGCTCTGAGAATTCGCTTGCTGTTAGAAATTCTTGGTCTCCGTTTCAGCTGTTGTCTTTTTATCAACGGCAAAATGCGAAAAAGCGAATAATTGCGGAATAGTATATATATAGAACTGTCCAAATGAAGCATCTGCTGGAAAGAACCAATTGAAAGGAATCCAACAAAGAGAGAATCAAAGTTATAGTTGTACTCTGAAAACGTTTCAACCATCAGAAACTAGACACGCTTAGTTAGTTAAATTGGTGTGTACTGTTGAGAAATATTGAGCTCTCAATTTGAAATCTAATTTTATTGCATGACTTCTTCAACGGTTCTTGCATGTGTGGCCTAGAAGACTTGGCGTAGCTTGGTTGATGTCCCGAATTCCGTCTGTCGATAAAGAGACTTGAGTAAGAACTTAAATAAAAGACCATAGTTCTTGATAACTGCCATGATAGTCATACGATAGGCCTATTCAGTTTCATTTCATAACTACACTGATCTAATCTTAAATCCAATATGTAATATTGTATTTGCGTTCAAGTGTTATATTGATATCTCCTCTTGAAATTCTCAAGTACACTTTGAAAGTGCTTTTCTCGTGTGCAAACCGAAAATTATTCACCAGCTTTAAAAGGAGCAAGAACGATAAAATCAAAAAATAAACGCGACGTTTTCCCTTTATTCAACCCAACCACCTCAGATATAACGTGTCACATAATCACAGAGCTATCCATCTGTTCTGAAGTTATTCCCACGAATCGAACATTCCAAACCAAAGAAGATAACGCTGATTATGTAGATGACTCTGAGAACGTAGCCTTTATCATCGTGAAGAGCTGCGCAAAATTGTATCGGAAAAAAAAGCAATAAAATGAAGCGATAACAATTTAGATAAGTTGTTCCCTTTTCCACATCACTCACCGTCAGCTTATAATTACATTGCCTTAGCAAACGACTTATTTCCGGCCGAAAAGAGCAATGATAAGGAAAAAAAGATTCCACCAGAGCTAATTCCTTAAGAATAAAATTACGCGTTAAATAGCTTGAGGAGGGCAGCGTTAACTCCAATGAACCTTACTTTGCGTCCTCTCAGACGAAATCCGATTAAAACCAAGCTTATCTCCTTTATTTCAACACATAGTCTACGGTTCACAGGACATGCGAGAGACTTATTGACTGTTGTTGGCGTCAGTTACAATCTTAGGTCTATCTTTTAAATCTGTTCCAGGGACAGCTGAGGTTTTCGATAAAATGCTTGACTAACGCTCATAGAAGACGCCTTTGTTTGATACAATTCTCTGATATACTCTTTAAAGACGTGCTGAAGGCCAAGGTTCAGCAGAAGGAGTGCGTATCTGACAAAGTTCCTTTGAATTGATAGATTGTCCGTGGATTGTGAAAAGGAAGCTCTGACAGTAGTGAAGTGTATCAAAAAAGAGTAGTCTTCTGATTAGTCTCACAACCTACCACCACTTTTACCATTCTTTACGCGTGAAACTGAATGACTCGTGTTGAAAACATTCTAATAGAACCAATTAAGAGATTAATTCTAATATAACTGTCGATGCCAAGTAATTATTGCGCTGCTGGGCAACTTTTATCATCCGAATTGGAAGGATTATGTATTCATAAACCGGCAGTAACGAACTAGTACACAGCTACGAAGGTGCCACAAAACCTTTTCCTTTACCGCTTCTTCCCATTCACTGACAGTAACAACTGATCAAAGAGCTGCTTCTCATCAACAGCGCAGTTTTTAAATTAAATTCATACAAGATTGCCTTGGTTTAGCCTTCCTCGCGCCATGTTTGGCCTAGAAAACTCGCAACATCCGCTCAACCAATCAGATGCTAAACCGGAAGAAACCACGGATTGGTCACGTGCGCTTTCCCGCGCTTCAAGCAGTTTGCCCATTTTACCTAAGTTCCTATTCGTTGTATGTCTACGTGATACGTTCCTTTGATGTGATTGGTTATTATGATTACTGTTGTTTTGCCTTGGCTTGAGTGGCACAATTGATGTGTGTCAAAGAGTCTAGCGGAATAGAGAATTTAAATAACGCCATATCTAAGTACAGACCATTCATATATCGTCGCCGATATAGTGAGGTCATTCTAAAGCAATTTAAAGACAAATTATAATTACCTTGACGTATAGTAAAAAGCGTGTTCTAGAAAATAAGGTAAACAAATACTAGTAGACTCCAACTGAGTCTTAAAAAATAATCAATAAGACGAGACTGATTACTGACCACGAATACAGCAAAAGGAATTTGAATGAAGTTTTTGATATTAGTTGTTGTGTACACCTTAATAAGTCTTAAGGAGGAACTTCACATTCTTGATATCTTTATTCATAAACCATTTAAATAAAAGCCCACAGGAAACACTTCTTTCCCTGGACTCAATTTGATTATTAACTAATAGCAGATTTTTCGACGTTATCCGACATTTCACCATGTGAAAATAAATTTATAATGAGGGCGACAAAATAAAACAGTAGTAAATTTACATTTTCTTTCCTATGCCGACCCTTAAAAACAAGAATACACCTGGATTCAGTAAAGGATATCACTGCTAACTCATCGATAAATAACTTCTGGCAAGATGCAGATTTTTTTGGAAGGATGAAAAATAAATAAAATTTCGAACTGAAGCTCTGGCAAAGCCCTGGTCAAAACATCGGTAAAAGCCCAGCTTGCAGTCCAGCTTGCAGTATATTGACAGAGTAATTTGAATGCACCGATAAAGAGAATGATTTAATTTAATCTCTCACGTATTTCGTTTCACGGCAAAACATAGCCAACATTTTAAAGCGGCGGCAGATCAATTATATTTTTCATCCGTTTTCAATCTGCTGAACCAGCTGAAAACACGACAACTGAGACGTACACTTGCAACAAATTCTTGATCGACAGAATACGCGCGTTTTTCGCCGCCTAACGATGGTTTTTCGATTGACTGAAATTAGCGGGGTAGATTTACTGCCTCGAAAAAGAAAACTGCAATGCAGGAATGGTCATTTCCTGGAGGTACGACCTGATGGTACAGTAAGAGGAACGAAAAACAACGACAGCATCTATAGTAAGTACCAAAATTACTGTCGCACCATTACATGGAACCAACAAAAACAGTGAATAAGGAATTCCACCTTTTTCGAGGGTTATAAATTTGTAATCGACGCAATGAAATGAGATTTTAGGAAATAACTGCTGCGGGGAAAAAGAGTATGCTTCTTTAGATACGATAACAACGTTGAAAGGTTTCATTACACAACCTTTTTGCTGGCGACAGTTATCAGTATGGACAGCTCCCTTTTCATTGAAGGTTTTCCAAGAAAACAAAAATAGGGAAGTAATAGATCTGAGAAACACTTTACACTTTCTCTTGATAGGAGATTTAGATTGTGTGTAAGTTTACAGGGATTTCAAGTCCTTAACAACATAACATTCTTGTACAATAACAATGTTTTGGCAATTATTTACCATGAAGAAGTTTGTTAATATGGCTCGCTGGCGTGGGGAAATAAAAAAAAATTAAAAGTCGCCTCCTTGGATTCAAACCACAGACCTACCGATTTTACGGGGGCTGTATGCTCTAACAATTGAGCTGCAGCCGAGAAAATTAGATTGCTAGCGAGGCCATGTATTAACCCTTCAATTTCCATGAGTGACCAAGACAGAATTTCTCCTTACTATATCAGTACAATATCAAGCAGACAAGTGATGAGAATAAAGAAAAATATTAATTATGGGATTATTTGTTGATCCAATACCAAATTCTCTGAACTAACACTATAAGAATTGTATGGCAGAGAGTAAGGAGAATTTCCAATGAGATCCTGGGAGTGAAAGGGTTAATCAGGTTAATATTTGAGCATCCTGCATTTGTCAGGGAGAAAGTACAAAAATGTTCAATTGATGGCCTGGAGATCTCAGGTTCAAACCGTTATACGAAATGCTATGATTTTGACTGAAAAGGAATACGTTCTAAAGGAAACTAGTTGAAAGATTTAGGGGCGAACTGGTAAAGGTGGGGGCAAATTTGCTTCGCTTCAGTGAGTGAACTCGCAAAGGTGACAGGAAGCGAACTTCCAATGGTGCGAAATCTCCAAATAACGCTTTGATCGCTGATTATTTCCTATTTCACTGAGCAAACGCAGAGGCCCAGTGTTTGGGGACGCACGAGACTGCGGGTCGATAGGTTCAGGATTGTCAGGATCGACCCCAGGTCATTGCATCATGTTCTTAGGGTAAAAACTTCACTCTGATGATGCTTATCCCAATTCACGAGCTGAGGAAGGAGGGTTACCTCCAAGAAATTAGCATCTCATTCAGAGTAGACATACTTCTAATCACTGTGCCACTGAGACTAGGGATAAGCACTGCTAATTGTGAGCCACTTGGCTGTAAGACTACACCTTATGCTCCTCTCCTCAGCTGTGTTTCATCTCAACTCTGTGGGACCGAACATAGTTACTTTGTGGGCTGCAGAAGCTCGGCTTTACGTCGGTATTGACGACCGTGGGAACATAGTTACTTCGGTAAGTGCCGATGTGTATAAAACTAACATTGAAGAACCTTTTAACTTTTGGCACTGTTGTTCTGAATAGCAGACCGGAAACATCGATTGTCGACAATTCTGGTTTAGGTTAAGTTTTAATCTTGGACGTAAAATTCTTAGTGAAGACATTATTTCAATTATTGTGTGAACATGAAATAATAGCGATTGGAGACTCTGTTTCCTTTAATCGTGTTCGTCAATCAACTGGCTACAAATATTACGCGTACCCAGGCAAATTTCATAAACTAGATAACTATCCGTGTGTTATGTTGCTCGCTTGCCGTTTTTAAATTTTTCTTTCCCGTCAGGAATTTGTTTCAAAGCAAGTACGTTTGGTATTCTTTAGATCATATCTAAAAGTCATTTCTCGTCGCTTTTCAGGCTTCAAAGATCCCGTCCTGTGAGCTCCGAGAGAAGCTGGACACAGAATTTTTCACCAGCCTTAGCAAGGAGTTTTCTCCTCGCCGGCTACACTGCCTGGCGATCTCAGTGCAGGGGAAAGTTCGATCATCAATACTGACTTCTTCACAAAATGTGCAGTTCATCACCAAACGACTGCATTGATAACGTTACCAGTGGCAGCTCCATAACGAAAGGCGATCAGTCACATTTAACCATCTAGTCGAGTAGCCTTATTTACGGAGAAGGGGGTGGAAAGAGGGCACTTAGAATGGGGGAAGGTGAAGGGGTGCTGATAAACCCCGACCTTGGTTTGGGAAAAAAAAAGCGTCCATTTTGCTACCCTGTTTCAGAAACAAATTGTATAAATTGTATAGATACGACATATTGACTTTAGAAAGCTCTCTTTACCATATACTGAGACAAAAAAAAAGGTAATTCCTAATGCAAAATCGTGCACCAATAAGTTCCCACACCAGTCGAGAATTCTGGTCAAGAATGACGCCCTCGTTAAGGGACTTCGGATAAAAATTTTGTACCTGTCTTAGAATAAACACTTTGAAAACCGTATTTAGCGCCAACTATCCATTGAGGCTTTTAAAATAACGGAGTGACGCCATTCCCCCCACTCCCCATTTCGCGCAAAGTTGGAAAATTTATCCAAGAAAGTTAAAACTATTTCAGGGTTTCTGTGTTTTTGTTTTTATTGACTACCGTAAAAGTCAAAACAAAGATGAATGCCACAAATATAAGAAATGAGAACCCTAAAGCGGAAGCACGTTACTGATCCCACAAGTAAGTGTCCTCTCCTTTACAGAGAAGCAAAACTACTGGAATATCATATTACTTTGGAAACTAGATTAAAAATTTCTTCGACCAGTGTTTAGACTGACGTGAGCGAATTATAAAGCAAAAGAAAATCCAAGGAAAATCCAGCTATACAGTTAGTCACTATAACGATACAGAGTAGGCGCATAACTTGGAAGTATATACAACATAACTTACAATTTTAACTCGTTACTTCAATCTCCGTTCGGAAATTCTAATCTACACGTATGGCTATGTATAACAATAAACATAATAGTCCAAAAATATGACAGTTATAACGAAAGTTATAAAATATGTAATGATGACAATTATAACTATAATAATTTTCAATGATATGAAATGTTTGCCTTTTTTTTTAAAAAAATTGAAGTAAAATGCTCCCCCGTTAAGGTTATTTAATATCTTTTTAAAAATTCTACTTCTTGGAAAATTTCATGAGCTTGGCGAGCACAATGCGCAAAACAGCGAGAAGTAACGGTCGCCACTTCTACACTGAAACTAGCTTTCGAACGTGTAACCCTAACAATATTCTAAATTTTTTTCTCTCCAACTCGCACGCAGTTTTCTTTAAAACTGTACTCTTCACTTGCCAAACCACACGGTAGGCAAAGATTTTTATCATTAAATAGAATAATTTGGCTAAGTTCATGTGCCTGAAAAAAGGATTACAGTCTTTAGATTCTTTCACAGAAAGAGAATCTATCGCCAAATAAATATTTACATGAAAATTAATAAACCAGTAAAGCGAGGCAAAAAAGTCTACTCTGTATATCAACTCTGTAAGCTTTAAACATTGTCACTAACATTTACTTGCCAAGCGAAAACTCGTAGACGCCATTTTTGTTAGCCAGCGGATCTTCTGAGCCTAAAGAAACGAGCATTTAAAATGTCGTAAATCGCAGATGAGTATAAGGCCATATCTTGATTGTGTTCTGAGGCCGGAGCGCGAATGATAAGCCTCTACCCTGTTCGTAGGAAAACTAAGTTTTCAGTTTTCCTGAGCATCATATCTTCCAGTAAGAAAGTAAAGCGCAGGTTCATCCGGGCTATTCGCCGTCTGAAATTCGTCCCTTAACCGGAAGCGCCAATGATCCTCCAAGTCTAATCGTGCCACTTCCTGTCTGAGCGTGTTTCGGTCTTGGCACACCAGGCAAAGGCGAGAGCCTGGAGCGAACTTGAATTGCGACAGGAAGGCCGCTGAAACTGAACGGCTACAGAAATATAGCAACAGTCCTCCATACCTGGAAAATAATCATAAGAAATTGAACTAATAGCAGAAGTTTGAGTTAACTAGAGAGACACGTATACATTTGAGGTGAAGGAAAAAAAAATCAACTTGCACTAGATTTCACCGCAGCGAAAAGTATGAGCTACTATTCCGCATTCCATTTTGTCAATTACAATTTTGTCACAATTTCGTCGTGGGGAAAGATTTCTAGTAACACTCAAAGTGACGAATGGCTCCTTCAAGGAATGCAACAAACAGTCACACCTGATGCCTTCGTTATCCTTCTTCTTGCTTTTGTCCCAGCCATGTGAACTGACAAACTCTAAACAAACCCTTGGACCGAGATTAACGTAACAGTCCACCACCAGAACTGGATGCTCTGGTTTATCCACAGCCTCGGGAAAGAGTCGCACTGAACCCATTAGCTCAAGGTAGCGCTCTAGGAGGTAGTAGGCAGGTACAGAGAGATAGGGTGTATCCTCGCGGTCAGGGGCAGTCACTAATAAATCGCCGGGATGCGTCTCTCTGTTAGGACTGCCTTTGTCAGCACTTTGGGCTGGCTCCTCATTGAAGGCGACGGCACCCCCTGTCTGGATGCGTTTCTTAGCAACGACCAAGTGGTTGAAGCGGCAGGTGGGTATTCCGCTGGCCAACACGTGAAGACTCAGGTCGAGGTCTTCCCACCAGTATCGGTTCGGGTTGTACTTGATCCCCTGCAGCTTGCTCAGGTTTAACATGACCGTGGTATGCAAGGGACAATGTGAGAAGGAGCCTTGTGAAACAGGTATCGAGGCGTCGGCGCTATACTGCTGCAGGCCTAACATGCCGTAGTTTAGAAGGTCTGGCGTGTTTTCCAAATGTTGAAGTACCCTCCAGAGGGAGGTCATCACAAATGAAGGACCTTCAACCTCTTTGACGGAGGGCTCCTCTCTAAAGCCAAACACATGGAGAAATCTAATTAGGACTATGACGTAACAAATTTTTTGTGTAGAAAATTGCCGTCATTTTAAAGAAAATCTTACTTCGCTCTGTGATAGTCTGGAAACTAGTGGCACCCTCACAACAAATCAGATGGCAAACCAAAACCCAACGTAACTTGGTCACTACCGTTACTACACGCTTCAAACAGTTCGTTAGTTTATTTTATTTATACTTTGAGCTCTCAGTAGACTCTTGAGACATTTTTCTTTGTTCGGAGTGGACGTTTACCGTATTATTCAGTTGTGATGTCTTCGACTGTGTTTTTGCAGTTCGCAAAACCCTATCTATCGCAAAACCCAGAGATTACATTCAATAAAACAACCAAATAACCTACAACGCATACGGTTTTTCAGACGTTAGCCTTTATTTCTCCAAGTCACCGCTTCTCTCTCGTCCACGCAATTATGCGGTTTTCGGTTGTTCTTCCTCCACAATTGTCAAGGCATATATTTTAATAAAGTGAAATGACATCAAGCAAGAATGGAAGAGAAATGAAAAAAACGTTCTCGTCGTCACGAACTACCATGACGCTGTCTTCAAACACGCAAAAGAGAGACGTGGAAAAAAATATCTATATCTATAATGGTCTTTAAAATCTTTAAAATCAATTTTTAAATATTTCCCCATACTTAAAATCTCTACTTACTTAGTCTGTTTGAGAAGGTTCTGCCACATGACACAAGAGTCGTCCATCATGACAATAAAGGGCCACACATCCTGGCCGCGTTTGCCATCAATTGCATGTCGTTCACGCTCTACAAGCCAGTTCTCCGTGGCAAATTCCTGCAAAGGGACATCGACAATCATGACGCTGTAATCCAACACGATAACAATTGAGCAAGGAAAAACCAGACCAGATAAAACAGCAAGAAATACGCACCAAACAAAACACTAAGGCGTTGACCATCTAGGCTGCCATCGCGAAGTAGATCGATGTTGTGTTAAATCTGACTTCTGTCCTAACACTTTTCCGACCCGGAGTTTAAAGAATTTGCGCACCAAACGTTTTTCATGGACCCCTAGTAGGTCCTGGGTCAACAAAGGAATCGCGATTTCCACGACCTGTATTCGAGACATAACACATTTTCGCAACGGACAACTGTTCTAGTATCATACGAAATGCCTGTCTGTTACGCCTCAGAAAACATTATAAAGTATAACCCTTTCGCGCTTGCATCCTCAGCCAAATTTCGCGTCATCTCATAGTAACTGTCGTCTTACCTTTATGTAATATCGTGCAGCTCCCAGTCCCTGCGTGTCAGCGCTCACAGGAAGCCCAACGATCACGTGATTAGGCCAGGTCTTCTGGTAGAGGGCCATTTCTTGGTGCTTAACAAACACAAGTAGGGTGTGATCCTCTCCTTCAAATGCGTGGTACAGGTTTAGCAGGCCTAAAAAATGTTAACGAACACACACCTTAAATAATCTTGTCAAGAAAACTTTTCCTTCGTAAACCCGAATTCACAACAGCCAGTTGTTCTTCCCAAATTATTATCTTAACAAGTTTTTATTTCCCATCGTTTTGCAGTCGAAATGCGCAAACTCGTTTATGACCCCAGAAAAAAAAACTGACCGGCCAGTTGAAGTTTTTGCAATAGCAGATTACCAAAAAAAAAAAACAGGCCTCGTTTCAAAGTAGATTAGCCATTGGGAGATGAAGACATAGAACAGCTAGTGACGAGAGTGGAGATGGATTAAGACGCACACAAACTGACGCAAGATTTTATACTCTGATCAGACAAATTCATTTCACAGGTTTACATCGTTGTTGCCACTCAATTAAATTCATGGAAAGGAAACCTTTGGCAAGTCACAACTGCGTAATTTGTTACATGCATACTGAGTGCATGCGATGCATCGCATTGTCTGGTTTGGATAACAACAAGGATGTGAAAAGGTCAGCAAAATTCCGTCGATCAGTGACCTTGAGCTGTTTAAAACTTGTGTTGCATTAGAGATATGTTCCCCCTTGCTTTTTAAATTAATTTAAATGTGGACAAACGTCACTTTATTATCGACGAAACATTTCCATTTCAAAATACAATTTGAAAGTTTCCATCATACTCATGGAAACAACGAGGTTTTATATAATCCCGTGAGGGTTCAACTTCCTGAATAGCAAAGACACAAAATTGCTCTCACCATATTCATGCCTTCCTGTGCTCGGCATCATTATGGGACTCTTAACGACTCCTACTGTCCCTCCTGACTCCGTCTTCAGCGGCTTCAAAACCTCGCCATGGCCTCCCGTTAGCACCACAGGAAGGCGGAAGCTCCGTAGCTGCTTCTCCTTAGTGAAGGTAAAGCTATGTAAACACCTATGCGGTATAATAAACTGCAGCTTCTCTCCACACTGCAATGTGTACACGCAACTCAACGACGTATTCATTCCCATTCCTTCACGGTAATTCCTACAACTGTCGCAGTGGTGATATATGTCGTATGCTGCCCAGTTCGAAAGCATCATGGGACAGGTTGGTCGCCCTGGAGACAGTTTGATTGAAAGGGGCTGACCGGAAGTGTCTCCGGACACAGTGTTCATTATCGAGGCATTGATCCGAAGCTGGCTTGTTCCACTGGATCGGTGTTCGCGTAGGACACAATTGAAAGGAAGCTTAGACACTTCCTTATACACGGGCCATGCCATTCTCTCTTGGTCGTTCTCTAAGGGGGTGGGTGTGGTTTGTGAAGAACTTTCGTCAGGGATACTGATAGTTTCATCGTACACATCCACTCGCCGTAGTTTCTGAACCATTTGATGCAGAAGACGAACAAAATGGAGGTAAGCGTGAGTTTTTCCGACCTATAAAATTAAAAAACAGAGGTGCGAGAAGGCCTTTATTTACAAAATCCAAGACAAAACTGTAGACACTTCACAGTTATTGATGAATGACAAAAAGTCATGACAATTGGGTCCAATAGAAGTTCTCGACCACAAAAATTGAAAGGAAGATTAGTTTTGAAAAGCAATAGAACCTATCACCACTTGGAAACCACTTAACCCCTTGACCCCTAAGAGTGACTAGCATCTAAATTCTCCCTACAATATCACCCCTGAATCACACATTAAGGTCATGAGAATAAAGGAAATGGTCACCAACTTAAGAAGCTCTTGATTGTTAAACAAATTCTCCTCGTCAGTGCCTTAGGAAATGTATAGAGAACAGTATGGAGGATACGCATACTGATGTTAAGGTGTAAAAGGTAAAGCTCGGGTTCTGGAGGAACCAGCTCTCTGTTTGTGCTATGTACTCAACATTACCTGTGGCGGTCCACTGAACAGAATCGATCTTGGATGGTATCTCTCAGTTCTGGCTGGCTCTGCCTCATCTCTGCTGCTGCTACTGTGTACAACTGCCTCGCCGTTGATCGAGTCTTGCCGCGGGCTAGCTGCCATGCCATAAAGACGATGCAGAAGAGCGGCACCTAAAGGAAGCACGAGAAGTGGGAAATTTACCGCAAAATTTTTCAAATTGCGCAGATTCTTCTTCTCAGTAAGCTGCTAGGATCTAGGATCCTTAAAAGACGGGTCGAGATGCTCTAAGCAACTTAAAATTGATTCAACCCACGTGGCGGCGTAAATTCACGAAATCTTGAGTTGAATTAAAGTTAGATGCTGCCTTCCCCCCTCCCGCCATTCATGCCTTAGCTCACGGCCTAAGGTCGAGACATCAACGATAACTGACAGTTACACAATGACAATATCCACGCACGAGGACACAACCTACGTTTGAGATATCCAAGATTAAATAACATTCAAATACAGATACAGGTACAAACCCGGAGAGACGGTTTAAGTTCGAAGTATCTGAGATAACATTTGAGTGACTTACAGAAACAAGTGCGAACTAAGGGGGGAGGGGGGAAGGGGGAGGGTAGCCTTAGCTCGAGATATCCAGGTCAAATTAAAGTGATATTCTGACATACAGTGGCCCCACGCCGGAGTACTCAATGCTCTTAGGAATGATAGCCGAAAAAAAGAGTACAGGTATGGAGTGTTTTTGCGATAGACTTTCAAAAATCAAAAGAAAAACATTAGGTTTCAGATTTCCTCCAGTAAAACGAAGGTAAGTTTGAAAAAAGACGTCACTTGGTTCACGACATCTCTCTTGCGTTCATTAAAGGTAACTTGATTTATCTCCGCACTTTCACAGGTTAATTTCGTCAGTGATGATAACCGCTCTGTTAAATCACCACTTACCAAACACTGGTTGATGTCCTTGCTTTTCGCCGGCCTCTAAATCGTTTCTAGGTTTCTTTGTTATCACATTTTCAACAGCAGACTTGGAATCTTCGCCACCACTTTCCTCTCCCTCACTGGTACTCACTTCAGCGATGAAAAAACAAATACACAACACTTTAAATTTAACAATATCTGAAAGCCCGCACAATATTCGTAAAGAGTCTCAAACGCCCAAACTTTTCATCATCTGTATCATATGGTACGTCATATGGCACAACATTTATAACAAACTGGTGCAACAGATTAATACAGTACAATAGAGCAGTTTTCAATTGATCCCGGATGGCTTTGGTTTTGCTTTACTTCTCTCTGTGATTGGTCAAGAAAACTCGCGCCACCATCTTAACCAATCAAATGCAAAACTAGAACCATTCCCAACTCAGGTTTTCCAGCGCAGGTTTCCTGTTTTTACTTTGAGTTCTCATTGGTTAATGATCATGATCATCTTTGTTCTGATTGGAAGTTGTGGTTGTGGGTTTTCGACACTCGATTACTGCTTTATCGGGGCGAGGAAGATCAGTCATGTAAACATACTCAGGCATAACTCGCATTCGTACGCACTATCATGTATTTGTTTCAGCGTTCAAATCAGCTGCTGCACTTTCGTTATGTAAAATCCGACTCCACTTGTACTTGGTTCGCTACAAGAACGCAAGGGGTTTTTGTGACAGGTAGGAGACGCTTCCAAGAATTGGTTAGCGCACTGAGTTCCTGACAGAGCAGTTTAATTTAAAGCCTTGGCTGGATATTTTACACTCACGAGGCCTCCATTCTTCAAGGAGTGAAAAGCTTAAAAACGAACTGTTAGGGTAAACTGTAAAAATTTTGTAGGAAAACTGGGACACCTACATGCAGCTGTTAGTTCCTATAATAATATTTTTTTTGTGTGTGTGTTTTTTTTTTCGCATTTATGAATTAAACTCACTTGAAGTCATTCTGTTGCTTTCTGCAAAGGACTCCACGGCAGACATTCCATCTTCTTCCACAACGTCTGCAAGGAAAAATCAACATTTGAAGTCAGCTTGCGATTCACGATTCATAATCTACGAACGTAGCTGAATTATTTCTTTGTTGCACAAGATGTTGCACAGGAGCTAGCCTAAACTTGTTTTGATTATTGCCGTTTTTTTTCACCGTTAACATTACATTGACGCCTTGCTTACTACTAAATGAAAAATGAAATAACTCCTTTACTGGATAAGTTTGGACCCAGAGAGTTCTGCAAGAAGACGCCGTAAGATTACAATCTCACTTCACACCAGCAAACAGATAACGTTCACTCAAACATCCCCACATTGCAAATAAAAAATTACAATTCCAGAAAAATGGGGAGCCAAAGCTCCATTGGCGCCTCTCTCTAGATCCGCACTCGTTGACGACATGGTTGCCAAGGAAACAAACTTACCAGCGATATCCGGGCTTATTACGACTCCACTTGCACTTCTTAAAGTTATCACTGGCTGTCGATTGGCCGAGTCCTGCTGAGGGCCTGGGACTTGCTTGGGCTTGGGTTCAGTCCACTCTCTGTAGTAAAGCGACTGGTGACGCGGATTTGACGTCACAACGGGAGGGCGTCCAAGCCCCGCCCAGCGCGTCTGCGGAGTTGTGGGAAGCAGCAAATGCTTTGGGTATCCGTAGAAATCTGACTGGAATGCTTTGAAGACGGAGCGGGACACAAGAATCACGGGTAAAGGATAGTTGGAAGAGTAATGACTTGTTCTGCACACGGTTCCACTGCCTGTGTTTGACTCGTCTTTTCCGTCTGCGCTGGTCGGCCCGCTGGACTCACTGCTGCCATCAACGCTTCTTGAACCAGATCCAGAACCGATGTAACAGGCGATAGCACTGAATTCCAGCTCCAGGGATGAACGATATACAAATCCTCGGTCTATCAACCGCAAGTCGATATATTTCAAGGATCTGTGGACCAAAATATAGATTAATGAAGCCGTAATCAACTTACGGTTAAATCAGTCTTACCCACTCAGAGACCTGCTCGTACCAGAGCTCATCCTGTTGCACTTGCATCTCCACTCCTCCTGGTAGCGATGCAAGTGCACCGCTTGTAAACCGGACCTTTAATACCCATAACTAGCGGTAGCATGGCTCTCACAAACCTCGGAAAAGTGTCCCCAGGCCTCTCTCTGCCGCTAATGATGATAATACAAGGAAGATCGTGAAGATCTTCAAAGCACTTTGGGCTCCATTCCTTTGCAGGCTCAATCTTGCCTTCTGACGAACCTGGAATGGTAAATCAAAGTGGCAAAACAAATAACATTAGACAACTTAACAACACTGCAAGATATCATGGCTACCATTACTAGAAAAATGCCACGTGGGTCGCAGGTCATTTCCTCATTATTTCTGTCAAGTGAGAGGTTTTTAAGGGAAGAGACATGCGAAAGAATCAAATAAAAAACAGCAACGCAGCTAGGGTCCTCGTATCTGTTAACTGACAAAGTTTCCTCTATTTCGTGCACTTCTTGAGGAGCTTCTATGTGTCAGCAAAGTTTGTCTCCATTTTTTTTGACATGCAAAACTACCTTCAACTTCATGGAGAGTACAAAATATTTTCGGGCAAGGAGGAAAAACGTACACGAGACAATAGTTAACAAAAAGGGATTACGAATAGCTCAGGATGGAAAAGATTGGAGCTGATTGCAAATGACGACCTTGAAAATTTAAGGCTTAACTTTTCAACGAAGATTGCCAAACTTTACTGTAACTCTCATTACTCCCCCTTATGCATCAACCTCGATCTCAAGAGGAGAGGATCCTGGGAACGAGATCTCCGTATACCATAAAACTCGAATACGTTTTACTAAGATTATATCGGTGACTGAAGTAATTTCATGTTAGTTAGTCATACTGACCTCTGTGTTCTCTCCACCATCTTAGCCGAGTCAGGAAATACTCCTCCATTTCCAGTTCACTATAACCATTGTCGTGAATGATCGCAAATCTAAACTGAAATCCAAGCCTACATAACAAAAACAACATTGTTTGAGGTTAAGTGTTGCTGATAGAGATCAGGAATGTTATTCATGTGGACAAAGTGTGTCCCTTTGTGTCTCGCACAAATTTTAAGGCTCAAACAAGACGACTGTATCATCAGTTTCAAACACCCGAACCAAACAACAAAAACAAACGAATGAACGAGAGTACAAGTTACGTTTCATTCCTTCAGCGCTCTCCCTTCGGTCTTCAATATCCTCGCCTTCTTTAAAGCAGTTTTGCAGATTTTTAACTCGAAATATGAGCCTTATAAATTAAGAGATTGAGAGGTGTCAAGGTATCTAGGTGTTATGAATTTCAATGAACAGCGAACTTAACCCAAACATCATTACCTATATTCTCCACTCTACTCTCTATCTATCTCCTAAGGTTCTAAAAAGGAGAATTTGTTCAACAATCAATAGCTTCTTCCATTTGATCATTTACTCTATTCTCAGAGGACCTTAATGTGTGCTGCAGGGGTGATATTGTAAGGAGAAATTGGATGATAATCACTCTTAGAAGTCAAAGAGTTAACTAACCTATCACGAGTGTTTTTCAGGCTCTCAAACGCCAGGTTAGAAAGTTCTAAGGAGGGAATGCGTATCACCAACATGGCACCGCTGCCATCAGCATTATGTACTGGAGACTCGATGATCTCTCTCATAATCTGTATTGTCTTTAATGTGCAGTGTGGCTCGGCCGGCTTGATACCCGCTGACCACATGATAGCGGCGCAGTAGTGTCGGATGAGAAGATAGCACCTCAGGACACTTAGGTTGACATCATCAGTGGTTCTGTGCAAAAATAATGGCAAAGATTTGAGTAATGGAAACTACTTTCATCCTGGAGAACCACATCTCCGTCGCAACGCCATCACTGTTACCTGGATCACCGGTACAACATCAACCAATCGCATTTAAAAAAAAGAACTGTGGGTCTAAATACAAGCAATTGTGCCAAACAGTGTTAAGAACCAAAGCCGCAAGGTGGGCAAAGAATATTTTAATGGATCGGATTGATTAAATCTTAGCTTCTCTTCTTTACCTGCTGGTCCTCACGGCCATTTTCTCAAACGCATCATCCTGCCTCACCAATGGAAACTGGTGCGTCCATTTGATAGACTCGCAATATTCCTTCATTCCAAAATACGTGCCTTCATTAGTCTCCAAGTTATGAACGTTTTCCACCACGCTTGAGGAAACTCCATCTAGTATGGAGGAAAAATGATTGAAAACACGTTACAACTAAAGCTCTTTTCGATTGAGTCTTAAACCAAAACCCAAGCAATCACTTCAGCCAATCATAGGAAAGAAAACATTACGAGGAGCCAATAAGAACAAGTTAACTATCTGAAACGCAGGAAAACCCGAGTGACCGAACTAATTTTGAGTCTGATCGGTAGAGAAGTTGGCGCGAGTTTTAAGGACCAATCACAGAGCGAAGTAAAGAAAAACAAAGAAATCCCGGATTGCTTTCCACACAAGTGAAAATCCCAAAATAAAAGTTCTTTCTTATTACCCCAAAAGAACGTCAACATGTTTGTTTCAACCCCAGTATAGGTAACCTCACGAATATGCCTACACAGATTTCGTTCACTAAAGTGAATACTTACCAGTCTCATTTCTAATATCAGACCAGTAGACCTCGTTATTGGGATCAACGAATGAGCAGTTGGTTTGAAAGAGGTAGGGTGTTGCCGTCACAAAGAGCGCTATCACGTTACGAGCTTCCAAAAACTCTTTATAGTACGGAAGATCTAGAACACCTTGAGGACTGGCATAGAACTGCGCCTGATCAAACGTGACCACAAATAGAACTTTAGGCTGGCTCTGTACTTGTTTTAAAAGCTCAAACAACTCTCCTTCAGTCTCCTCCTTTCCACTGTGTTTGATGACATATTTTGAAGCTGTTTTGAATAGAGCAGCTATCTCAGCAGTTTCCAGGTCTAGCTCGGTCAGGAGTCCAGATTTGCTGAGCCTCTCAGTGGTTTGGTTAAACAGCGTTGTTAATGGAGGCACAATGATAGCCATCGACACGGCCGTGAAACTGTTCAAGTCAAGCGAGTTAATATTCTCCCCAATAGTACAAACTTGGGCCAGAAGTTGCTTTGCGATAAGATGCTGGCTGGCGAACAAAGTGTCTCGCTGATGTGGATAGGCTGATGCCGGAGCTCTAGGTTCCAGTTTCGATGCCTCCTCGGCGACCACCTTCGTTCTTGCAAAACCGTTGAAAGGAACAAACACAAACTGCCCCTGACCCATGGCTTCCTCAAAGTTGCCGATCATTTGCTCGAGAGCGTCGCTAGAAAGCTTAAAAAGCTGTTCAAGTCTGCTAAGATTGTCTACAATCCGTGCGCCAACAGGATGACCTATCATAGCCTCGGACAAATACTTAGCCTGAAGAACGCTGGTGACTAGCACGCAAAACTCTGGCGATTTCTTCTGCGAAATGGCCAATACAAAAATAAAGTCAGGCACTGGTACTTTGGGAAACTTAGACTGATTGTGTCTATGAATTTCTAACACAAACTTCAAGGCTCTGAAAATTGCATTATCTAAAGACACAGGCGAAGATACGATTTTCACTCGCCCTTTGGAGTTGGCCGCCGTTAGGCTTGCCAACACTGGAAGTTGAACGTGAGTGACCGCATTGCTTTGGGCGAGTAGGTGGGACTGGGACTGCTGCTGAGCAGTTGCGGTCAACTCCAGCCTGGCATCCTGGAGTAATGACTCCACGTCCTCCCGACTGATGCGATCATCATGGACAAACTGGGAAAGATATTGGACCATCAGAAGCACGGCCATCTGAGTTGTTAGATTGGGAACGCTGTTATAGTAAGACCTGGCTATCTGACTCTCCGCTGATGCAGCCGAACCCGTGCTGTACACACCTGACATGTTTCCAAACTGATTGCGATCCGAGACGAGGGGCGGGTTGAAACATCCAACCAGAAGGTCACTGATAATGATGTCCTCCACGCTGCAGGGTATTTTGGGTATGGAGTGCTGACATAACAGAAGAACTGGACGAACTCCACAGGCTGCGGTAAGCCAGGGTGTGGATGGCAGCTCTCCTGAATCAGATCCTTGTGCCGATGATCGTGCTGTGTCACTGGAATGACCATCATCTGCGGGAAGTTGGAGAGCAATTCGAATGAGTCTCGTAAACACCAAACCGCATTAATTCACAAAAGAAGATAATATCACTTATAAATAAGCCGAGCCGAAGAGAGCTCAGCGTTATTGTTATGCAGACCGCGTCAAGCGCAGGAAGCCGCGACAGAACGAGTCCCGATCAGTTTTGGTTTTGCATCTGAATAGTTGAAAAAGGGGCACTTCTTTCCTCGATCAGTTACAAAAAGACACAAAACTAAATATAATCCCAGGCTGCCTTCGACACCCAATTGAAAATAGCATTGAGATGATCAGGTTCTCACCACTTTCCAGAGGCGACTCGCTGCCGACAGACCCCCAGCGTCTTCGTTTTACTGACATGACTGGATGATAAGATTGCTCAGCTTGAGTGCTCTGACTGGACGACGGCTTCAACAGAAGGCCTTCATCTCTGGGTGATGCAGATCCCTGCCGTGACACGGAAGGCGAATGAGATTGTCGAGGAAGCAAGTGATGAGGGGCTGAAAACAAATACCACAAGTTATAAACACTGCCATTGCCGTCATTTCTTCAGCATTTGTTCAATTTTTCGTGATTTGAATGGGGAGCTAACTTCAAGGGGAGGAGGAGGTAGGGGGTCGGGGGAGGGGGGAGGGGGGAGAGGGGGAGGGAATTTTGAATACTTCGTTTCCTAATTTTCTCTGTGACCTCGAAAATAGTGGTGGCATCATTGAAATATTAACAAGGATACTAGTAAATAAACAATTGATAATGATTATCAAAATATGCAGAGATCAGAGAAGTTCCACGCCTTATTACCTGATGTAACATGAGGACGCGGCATCTCATTGGACGGCTCAGTTTTAGCTGAGGTATACGCAGCCGGTACATAAGGCCCTGTGAGTGGGAAGGTCCGTTTTCTACCTTCGACTGCCATCAAAAATAAGCACAGCAGGAATTATTTTTAGAAAAAAAATCAACTATGAGTGCATTATCAGAGGTCATCGACGACATTGCAAACGATATACTAAAACCAATGTGACATTCAGTGACATAACTGAACACTGTTAACATTTATGCTGCTCCAATTCACAGTGCTTGGGATTGCCTGCAAAAAGACTTACTTTTTTTAATTACTTTCGTTCACTGCGCTTTATCAGTCTTTCAACTATATTGCATTATATTACCAATGTCATAAAGACATATAATTACAGCCAAACACGTAGCATGACTGAATGAGTGCAGTTGACAAAAGGCAGTTAAGTTGAGGAGTTCCACTTAGCTATACAAAAAGACGAATGCGCCGGGCTGGGTGTTTTGAGCCTGGGAACTTGAAATTCAAGCCCAGTCCTCTAAAAACTGCTCTCAGCATTATCTCCTTGTTCTCCCACTTTGGAAAAGCATCCCTGAGTTAAAAACGGCCTGCCACTGATTGGAAGCTAGTGCAAGAAGGCCAGAAGTGCACTTTGCTGGTGTTTATGTTTGCGTCATACATGTTACAGGGAAATGGGTGACAACTTCACCTTTCACCCCCTAACACCAGTATAAATATTCTCCATACTGTTCTTAATAAATTTCCTTAAGTGCTGACAAGGACAATTTGTTTAACAATCAAGAGCCTGTTTAGTCGGATATCACCTCCTTTGTTCTCCTGACCTAAACGGGTGATTCAGGGGTGATATTGTAAAGAGAAATTAGATGCTAGTCAGTTTAGATGCTGGGGTCAAAGGATTAACCTCTAAGAGAGACTAGCATCTAATTTCCCCTGACATCATTACAGCTGAATCCTACTGCAGGCTCAGGAGAATAAAGCAAATGATCGTTGACAAAAAATCTGTTTAATTCTTAGCCAAACATACTTTGTCAGTACTACAAGAAATATAAAGAGAACATATGAAGAATAATTGTCTATTGTAAGGATTTACAAGGTTAAACAATTTAATAAACAAGAAGGTTCAAACCTTTCCATGGAATAGCCAGTCCCTTCCGCAGCCTTCCACTAGGTTCAGTTACAATGTAATACTTCAAGTGTTTCTGTTTCTTAGGCTGTGTGGCCAACTTCAGATTGATATGACTTGAAAACTCTGTGAAGTATCTAAAGCCCTTGGCTCCACACCCAATACAGTTACCACTAAATCCCAGCATAGTGACATTGTTCTTCTCATCTGGCAGAAATCTCTTGTCCACCTCAGCAACAAGCATCATTCCTGGCAGCATGGGTGATTTGGCACCAACAAGAATAAACCCCTCAGATACTTGTACTAATTTACTGTTGAGGTAAGCCAGTCTTAGCTCTCCACCAGCTTGGCAGAAACCTTTAAAAATAAGTTAATACTGATATTTCAAGCAAAATATTTTAGCTGTTTTATTCTTCAAACCCTTAACCCTTTTGAATGACTAACAACTAGTTTTTCCTCACAATGTCATCCTTAAATCAAACCTTAATAAACTGTGATATGTTCTATCAACCATTTGCATAAATCTAATCACATTCAATCTTAAGTCCTGTGATTTAGCAGGCTACTCTGCTCACCTCACCATCTTTTACATTAAAGATAAAGAGTAACATGAGTGACCTAACAATGTTTAGTTGTGAACCAAAACAAACACAGGGCAGAATCTCACACTGGTAATCTTGTGTTCAATTTAATCCTTTAACTCCTGAGTGACCAAAACAGAATTTCTCCATAGTGCACCATTAAAAAATCAGGCTGACAAGTGATGATAATTAAGAAATATTAATTAGGGGATTATTAGTTGATCCAATACCAAATTCCCCTAAAGTAGCATCATAGGAATTGTGCAGCAAACAGTAAAGAGAATTATTAATGAGATCTTGAGATTGAAAGGGTTAAGACAATCTCATAAGAAGACTTTAGAATGAATGTTCTTGATCACATAATACCTGGTGATGTGCAGATTGGTCCCGTCTGTACAGGCCTGCTGTGCATACCTGAGGATCTGACAAAAGATTCAGTCACAGCAGGATGTGCCTCTGTTGAGTGTACATTAACATAGGGAGAACTCCTTGTTCCACTGTGAGACTCATCTTCATCACTACTGAGTTGAGCATCACTTGGCATATCACTACAAACAGTCTGGCTTACTGACATGGGAGGTGTGCGTGACTGTAGTAGCTGCATTAACCTAGGAGAATCTGCAACATAGAATTTTCCTGATTAATAATTGCATAACTCTCAGATGTGATTGATGCAAGACTCCTGAGTGACCAAGACAGAATTTCTCCTTGCAATATCATTACAATATCAAGGAGACAAGTGATGAGATAAAGAAAAATATTTATTAGGGAATTATTAGTTGATCCAATACCAAATTCTCCAAACTAACATCACTAAAACTATATGACAGACAGTAAGGAGAATTACTAATGAGATCTTGGGAGTCAAAGGGTTAAGTGAGAATCATTTGATTTGTAACATGTGAGATTTCTTTTGATTTCCAAAGTACTTTCTTCATTTTTTCACTGTGCAATGCAGTATAAGTTTTCCTTACAAACAGTAGCTGTGTAGAAGAACTTCAAGTATTGGTAATACACTTTCACCCGTAACTAATGGTCAGCAGATTTTTTGACATGGAGATAAATTTGAATTCCAGTGTTTCCTTGCCAATTTGACATTTTAAGCCATAGAAATTCTCCACCATTATCAAAAGAAAATAAATTTAAAAAGTAACATAAAGATATCAAAACATTTCCACAATTCATGCTCATTCTAAAATGTGCTCATAGATAAATTCAAAACAAAGAAATGTTGAAAAACTTTGAAAAAATGCAAAACCTCTTTGATGAATCTGAAGTCAATAGTTTTCACCAACATGTAGGTATGTATCATGCTACATGGCTGCCTTTCCTTATATAAAACAGATAAAAGGTTTGCTGCAGTGTGAACACATGACGCATTCTGTAAACTTACACAGGCATGATGTGTTAACTGTTCCTTTAACCATCCTATTACACTTTCCAATTACAAGCATAACGCATACACTCTCCTATTAGTGCTCAAATTGGGCTGGTGATTACCAATCTCATCCAAGAATTTTGTTACAGTTTTGATTAATACACCAAACAAATAGTGTATGGTTAAAAAAAGAGAAGATCAATAAAGCAAAAAAACGACAGTTTTAATTTTAGTTACGATATCATTTGTCAGCATAAAAAAGCAATTTTAACAATCAATCAATGGAAAACACAAAACAGATATCACCACTCAAGTGGTGTATATGATATCAGAACATGTAATATTGGCTGGGCAGACTCATGTATTCATGCAATCTGCCTTGTTCAAAGAATAATACAACTCTACGCCAAAAGGACCAAGTATAATTATTGTCAGCATCATGAAAATTTATTATATTTTGTTTAAAATAATTGCTACCTAAAGTCATCAGACAACTTTTCAATCAAGCTTATTCCTGCCATATACATTGAAATGACCATAAAATTTAGTAGTTACATAATGATTTATGGTACTATTCTTAGAAATCAAGTTGAAAATTATTGATTTTCAATCTCATGATACATTTGGTGACACCACATTTTATAAATGAACATACATACCAATTTTCTCATCCTTCTTATTCACATAACAAGTTATCTACACCACCCTGACTTTCATGGTAGAACAACTGTTTTATATTATACCACGGCAGATGTGCGTAACTTTGACTAAAGGCTTGGTGGTAAGTGTTAGCCTTACAAGGTATTCGTAAACAAAATGTTATTACATAACCACATATAGCGTTTTCCTGAGGGCATCAGCAAGGTGTGTCTATATCAATAGCAGGTCAATTAACAGAACTTCCTAAAAATACCAATATCTTGTTGTTGACAAAAGCATTAAGGAAAGAGATAGGCCATAGCAAAAGATAAATAATACTCACACAGCCAGCAGCCTTACGGGTATTGAAACATGGACAGTCACACGGATCCATATCAATTTTGATATCTCTAGATTTAAAATATGGTCAATATCCAATCGAACTTGAAGCTTATAATATTGTTCTTGTGGAAGAAGATTAACCTTCAATGTTGTGAGAAGTACTTACCAAAGGTAAAAAAAGCTAAAAATGGCTCTAACGCTATATTTCCCACAAAGCAGTAAGCAACTTTTTCATGCGACTTAGTTATTCATTTTCCATTTCAGATGGATCTTGCCATCAACCCCTTGACAATTTCAAGTGTTTTAAAAGCTGGGGGCGGTTTCAGAAAGGGGTGCATTTGATGGACACCTAATAATAACAACAAAAACAATGAAATAGCTGTGTCAGCCACTTCCTGTGCCTCTGATTACAAAAATTTTTCATCAAAATGTATAATTTAGTCTACAAGGAAATCTTGTCTACAACTACTCTTGGCAAGCCACTATCCAGTGGAAAACAGATACAATTAAAAAGCATTGGGATAAAAAAAAAAAGAAAGTGTAGAAGGACTTTATGATATGTCAATAAGCATCATCAATTGTAGATGTCATCAACATGATTGAGTATTGGCTAAATTTTACGAAATTTTTTCTGGACAGACATAAGGAAGAAGAAAATTGATGAAAGAATAAAGCAAATATCAGTCTATTTTTGAATGAGACAATAAATGTAAATTAAAATATTTACGGCAAGGCCAAAAGATATATTGACATAATCTCTTCATAAATGTCTGAAAGTTTTTCCGTCATTCAGTGCAGCAGGGGTGAATCCAGGAATTCTTTTAATCCTTTAACTCCCAAGATCTGATCATTAATCCTACCCTCTAGCTGCTACACTTTTCCTTACAAATCAGTTATGAGAATTTAGTGTTAGATCCAGATAACAACTACCTGATAAGTTGAAGTTTTCTCAATACCTGTTTGCAGGATGGTGTATTGATATTATAGGGAGAAGTTCCATGTTAATCACTTCTGAGAGTTAAAGGGTTAAGGGGGAGCAGGGAGGCAGGTTTCAGACAGGTTGCAAAAAAATCCACTGGTTTAATGAAAAGGGGTGTCTGGACCTTCAAACCCTTGCCCTGGAACCACCACCGAGCCAGGCTTCACTTTTGAAACCCTGCTAGCTAAATGTTTCTCCTATATTGAACATGAGAAAACCAAGCACAGGAGGGACTAAGTGTTTACCAAGTAGTTGCCACTCAGGGTCAAAAATGAATAACAATTCTGTCCCTAAGAGGGTTTTTTGTCCTTTAGCAGTTAACAACAAGGGTCTGAATCGATAGACAATTTCAAAAGTGTGATTGTCTTAGTCAATCAAATTTTGCTTCAAAATGCAGACTTTGGGAAGCAATCCACATTTTGAATCTATCATCCTAGGCTTTCCTTTCAGATCTCCTTGATGGCCCAAGATCAATATAACTGAAAATCACGTTATTTTAACACCAAAAGGTAGACACTTGTCCTGAAAGTCCAATTTATAGCCTTAACGGATGAAGTATACTCATCCTGGAGTACCTGTTCCTCTGGATAGCATATTTCACACTCCAGAATGACGTGTTTCCCATTGATATTGTCAGTTGTGAATTCAAAATAGTTCTTGACTGCAGTGTAACAGATTCTAGACCAAGTTCATTCAAGTTGCTAAACTTTCAAAGTTTTGATTACAAAGCTAGCAAAACTGAATTACTGTCAATAACTTTTTTCAAGTATGTAAGAAACTGGTACATTGTCTGCTTCTAAAAACCAACATTGTCACTTGTTTGAACTCCTTTTGAGTCTGAAAATACTATTGAGTCATTTAATCTCAATTTCAATTAAATGGTTTTTTCAGCAGCAAACTGCACAACATGCAGTGTGATATACCCACTTTGCAAAGAAAATGTTGGCAAACTTGGTTTTCACGTAACTCTGATTAACAACTATCCTTCTGTTTATTGGAAACAACTTAATAAATATATAACTTTATTATATTTTTATTTACTTTTAAACTGTTTTTTTGTTGTTGTATAACTGTAAACCTGTCTGCATTTTATAAATAATCTAATTTGACCAAAGAAAACCATAAAATCAATGGATTAAAGGCAGATTCCCATGGTGCAATCATATTTCCTATCAAGCAAGCCTGCCCTTGGCCTTACAAAGAGAATATTAGCCCATTTTTTTTTCTTTTTGCGATGATCTTGCTGTGATTGACCCATACTGTCAAAAAATTGGGCCTATATTCTCCCAGTATTGCAGTCCTGCTTGGTCAAATAAGAAAAACATTTCCTGTGGCTGAATATCAACATTCCAAACACTGAAAGATAATCCACATACCAAGTTTGGTAACTCAAATTTTGGAAAACAAGTTTTTAGTGAAATGAATTCAAAATAAATCATGTCCAAGTAGAGGCTTGAGAAAAATGACTTATTGTCATATAAACTACAGTGTTATACAAGGATTTCCAGCCCTTAGAAAAACCATAACAACCCATGTGGAAAAAAAAACAAAATTTTTTTACGTGTTTGATAACGCCAATCAGCTGCTTACTCATCACTTGCTTTTTGTGCCATTTGCTCAGGTTGATAAATGAATGGCAAAGCCTTCACCATTCCCAGTCCAAGGTTGTTTGTTGGAATTTTCTAGGATTATGGCTGTTAAAACACTGAAAAATCTGTATTGCTTACAGGAAGTGACTTTTAACCTTTTATAGAAGGGATGGAAAACCAAAATACAAAAAGAAAAACCAAAACTTGCATATTCAGTGGCTTTGGCAATGACATTCCTTGTCACTGACAACGAACATCAACTGCTGGAAGATTTGCCACAGGCCAATTTTTCCCAAAAGGACAAAGTCAATAACTGAGAATTTTGTTTATCTACATTACACCCATCTTTGTTTTGTAATGATTCAACACATTTTTTCATCTTGAGCCTAACTTTATGATTTTTATTTAGGAATTGTCTATCCTTCTATTTTCATTTGTTAATAAAGTTGACTTTTCTTGACAGTAAAGGGCTATAATTGAGTTTATATGAAAAATAAAATAATACATGGGAACTGGTTGATATGGAATTTCTCTTCTTGTGTTCATTTCGACATCTCGCTTGCTTGCTGCCCTCACTCATTAGCTATTGAGTTGAACACTCTAAGAGATATTCCATATCTATGTGCGCCCATGTATTGTTCTCTATGTGTGCTGCTTGCTTCATTCAACATAAACCTGCAGAAACACTAACGTCGAAGATGGAGAATACTTTGAATCCTAATTTATAATTTTAGTATGGACAACATAGTGTAAATGTATCAACCAACTCACTGTTGTAGACTTAACCCTTTAACTCCCAAGATCTCATTAGTAATTCTCCTTACTGTCTGTCATATAGTTCTTGTGATGTTAGTTTGGAGAATTTGGTATTGGATCAACTAATAATCTCCTAATCAATATTTTTCTTTATTCTCATCACTTATCTGGTTGATATTGTATTGATATTGTGAGGGGAAATTCAGTCTTGGTCACTCATGGGAGGTAAAGGGTTAAGTGTAATCTTACTCTGGTAAATTCCTGTCAAATTTCCAATACAATTTTATATAAATCAACACGAAATCTTCAGTTTATTATTAGGTTGTTTGTAGCTTACGTGGTGGCCTGGAATTTGAAACAAACTTAAAGATTTTTGATGGATTCTGTTAATTTGTGCAAACATGCACCAAGTGCAAATTTGCACTGCTTGTTTGTTAAAGAAATTTGGGGGAAAACAGGGAGGCATCGTTCATAGAAACAGGCTGTAATATTTATGGTTTTTTTTACATGTGTTATAAAACCACAACTTATAAAAACACTGTTAACCCTTTAACTCTCAGAAGTGATTAACATGAAACTTCCCCCTAAAATATCCATACATTATTCAGCAAACAGGCAATGAGAATATTCAAACTTATCAGGTAGAAGCTGCCATCTTGATCTAGCACCAAGTTCTCATAACTAATTTACAAGGAAATGTGTGGTAGCTAGTAACAAAATAATGAAAACTTAATGCAAGAATGATTGATCTTCCTGAAACAGAGAAAATGTGATCAAATTAGAAGCCTTTGGTGTTAGATTCACATCTGATTAGTTTGAGAGAGTGACCTGACTTTTCTCTGCTTTTATCATTTTCAAAATTGAATTGAAAAAATTGTGCTAAAATAAAATTTTATTACCAAGATTCAAATTCAATTTTATTCACCTTCATGTCCATCCTTGGTGGAACTTCTAGAAGGAGACACTCCAGGAAGATGCACAATGACAGTGTCTGCAGGTATTTCTACTCCAGTAGATGATGCAACAGCTGATGAATTGTCATAATGATGTGGTGTGTCGTAATGTATTGTACCTTGTGACGTAGATAATCTTGTGCTGACTCGTCTGGGGGGCCAAAGTGATCGATGTTTGTTGCGGTATCGAGGATCTGACATGCTTAAGGCCCATGCTCGTCCCTAACAGGAAAACTTTATAGACTTTTATCTCATCAAGCTCTTACTGAAAAAAGAAATTTTATATAGTTACGTCAAATAATAAAAAAATAATCTCGACTGTATATTTGTAAAGTTACTTAGGTAAATCATAGGCAGCAATAACTCCCTTGTGGAAACACTAATTTGTGAAACAAGGACTACACTATCATAATACCTTCTTTCACGGCACCCTTCAAAACCAAATACCACATTTCCTAAAAAAAAACACCTGGGTACTTACATGTATATAAAATTTTTGCTAAAAGAGCAAGAGAGCTATATAATTGTTACCATAATTATAATAGACTTTCAAGTAGACTGGTGATGCAAATAAATAATGGTAATTGAACTGGGTGGAGTGAAATTTGGTCGGAAGTCATATACCATATTTCAAAATCAAACAAGTGTGTACTGCAGGTTTGATTTGAAATTGCAAGTATGTTTTCAAATTAATCATAAAAATTAACCAATATCCTCGATTGTGATAAGCTGGGCAGTCATCTAATTTTGTTAACACTGGTAAGATTTCAAATTGAATCAACTCCAATCAGTCCTATTACAATAATTACTAAATTTGCACGACACAAAGTTCAATTACCACTTATTGAAACTGCTAAATTCAATCGCTCAATTACAGGACTTTTTAGTCCGTACAGATATTTTATTAATCTAGTACTCATCTGCTATTTGATTTCAAAATATATGTATTAAAGAAAGAAGTCAACTAGGAAATATTGACATCAAGTAAACTAAATTTGTGGCCTGCACCAACAAAATGTTGCATGATCATCTGTTGGAAAAATAAGCTTTCAGATCTAACGTGTGAAGTGACCTCTCAAGAACAAGGAATGAAAAACAAATTGATACTTATCACTGCCTATACACCTATGTTCTTTGATCATCACACCCTTAGATTGGCATGTATATTCTCGACACCATAATCCTTACATTTCCCTATAATACTGACAAGGAGAATTTGTTTCACAGGTGAAAACTTTTTTTAGCTGGTCCTCATTTCCTTTGTGATCATTATCTTCATAACTGATTCAGTAGTAATCTTCCATAGAGGAACTAAATAATAGTAACTATTTAGGGTTAGGGGGGGTTTAGGGACAGGTCAAAATTGGTCAGCTGATCAAAGCATGAGCACATTCAAGTGGTTTACTGTCTGAATTAAACCCTTGATGTCACTCACGCAGGCAAATAAGTGCAGAATAAGCATTTTTTTTTTTTCACTAGTTTGATGACCTTTGGAATCCTCATAGAGAGCAAAATTCATAAGGTAAGATTTTTGTGTAACATAGAGGTTTCAACCGTTGGAATTAATAGTTCTTCTGTGACCTTTCGCTAAAAAAATTAAGATCTTATGTCACAACCAAGCATGTCTAACAGTGATAATTATATCTGGCTGCCAGGAAATCGAAGACAATTGTGGTGAAGAAACAGGAAGTTTTTATATCTATCTCATGATTACAACAGCCTTGCACTTTGCACTCAAGAGGTTATAAACAAAACAATGATGCAAGTCAACAAATTGTTAGACACCTTGCTGCACAGAAAAAAAGGGAAATGAGAATTTCAGCAAGAATCAGTAAGAATAAACTTGAAAACTGTAAAGCTAAATCTTCATAAAAATTGACGATTGTTCACACACCAATAAATTTCTCATTTGTAGCCCAATTAAGATTGTTAATAATAGTTAGAATTGCATTAAAAGGGCTATATTCTGGCTCAATTAAAATAGTAAAATTATTTCTTCTAAACGACTCGGTAATTTTTCAGTCCTTTCGTGAAAAAGCTTATAATTTTTGTTCCTTAATGATTCAAATTTCTTCAGGAAATTCCCACAAATCCCAAAAAGGTCAAGACCCACGTCTTTCCGTAAGCATAATATTTCAAAGCTGTATAGATTTCTAATATCTTATATTTTTCTTCGGCCTCACATTTAAACGATATCGTGCTAGTAATGTGCGTGAATAATGCATTGAAGCGGTCTTTAAGACCGGTCTTCAAGACTCAACGTTATCTTGAAGTTCGACCATAGTATCCACTAAAAAACTTGTTTTTGTTAATTTTTTTCCCTTAACATAATTTTTCCCCAAAATATCTGAGATATACGGATGAACAAGAACAGAGGAGATGTTTAACTCTCGCGCACCGCTCGAGGACAAATGGCGTCCTGGAGATCATAATCTGCCGGTTCGCTTTCATTTGCTGTCGGATCACGACATTAACCTCGAAAAGTAGGGAATGAAGCCATGTTAGTCATAAAGAATTTCAAAACATTACAGAGTCCCTATTTTTCGAGGATTTAGTGACGAAAAGTGTGTTAATTTGGCTTTCGGCTGAAGTGTTTCAAACATTACACCCCTGTGGTCTATCCATCTGACAGGCGACACGACAGGCCGACGGACGTACCTTCAAACCATAGTCCACAAATTTTCGACATAAATCCTCAATTTTCAAAATTTTGTAAAACTTCTTCGCATAAAACACTGCGATTTGACTCACCTTTATCTTCTGGGAAGCTATTTTTCGCTAGAAGTCCCCTTTGTGACAAGAATTTCGGTCATCGTCATCAAAACACACTAGTCTATTTGCCGTCTCCTTTCGATTCTGTCACGTGGTACGTGTCTTGAAGAACAGGTTTATCTGAATGCCCCCCCGGGGGCCGGATATTGCATAAAGGCGGAACAATACCATTTATATCGTGGAGTTTATCTATCTGCACGACTATATAAAACATGAATATGCAATGTTTTTTTATAGGCAAACGATTAGCGTAAGCATGTGGTATTTTCTGAATACAATGAGGGCAGCTTGTGGACAGTGGTCTGATACGAACTCAACTGAAGACTTACATATAAGAAAAATTAATTAGGACACCAAAACGGCTGGTATTGTAAGATTCAATTTGATAGCTTTATCAAAATATCAAATTGTACCGACTACTTTTCAGGAGTAGGCGCCATCAGTCCAAAACTGGCTGATATTTGCCCCCACACGAGAGTAAGAGTCAGACCACTCGGGCATATTTGAAGGGAACACCCCCTACCAAAAAGGAAAAATATAGTTTGGAGCCATTTTTCGTGGACGTGCAATTTTCTCATTCCTAGAAAGACTTGATATTTCTACGCCCGCCGTGCATTAACCGATCTCCTGGATAGGTTGCACATGCTCTTGTCTAAATAGTACGACAATGCAGCGCAGCTAGGTTTGCAACTGCGCCTTCAAAGGACAAACCAAATGAGTTGTTGCAATTAAGCCGCTTACCCGAAGTAAGCGAACCTAGCTAATCACAAGAAAGGAAAAACGATCAAGGACTTTGATTAGAGAGTAGATAACATTTTAACCTTGCTACTATCTTACTACTAACACACGCTTAACCTTTTGCGTGCTCGAATGAGTCACCAAGACAGAATTTTTCCTTACAATATCAATACAATGTCATGCAGCAAGTGATTGGGAATAGAGAAAATAGTTCATAGGAGATCAATAGTTGATCTGATACCAAATTCTCTGAATGAACATTATAAGAATTTTATGACAGACAGTATGGAGAATTATTTATAAAATCTGGGAATAAAAGGGTTAACTGGCATGGCCCCAGCCAATCTGGCTCAGAGGAGGTGAAAGACACTTTCAAGAACAAAGTTATTGGTTAGGCTAAAGAATCTCTTGCGCTACCACTGCGGGTAAGAATTGGTCAGCAGACCTAGGTTGACAAAGATGGATAAACCGCAATAGAAAGTTTTGAAAAGCTGACTTTTCAAGCCATGGCTCGTGGTCGGAGAAGTGGTGTGAAGGACTGGGACTGACGCTGACAACAGTTGGTACTCAAAAATTCATTTCAAGGTTTATTTATCCTTTCCATGCGCATAGAGCTACTTATTCCTTTTGTTTCGGAAATTTTTCTGCCATAAATTGTGTTACCGCGAAACTTGGCTCTCAGCCTGTCGGCCGCGAGAAAAATACAGGAAGGATATACCATGCCAGCGGCCTCTCTCTCCAATAGAAGACGATCCCGATGAGGAGTGTGAGAGATAAACGGACCTATTTGATAGAAGGCGCTATTTAGAAACACCAAATTCTTTGAAATTTGCCAAAGAATTGGGTAGTAGTTAGTTTGAAAGCGGGAATTACAAATCGCGTCTGACGCGTTTGAGGAGTACAGATTTAGAAGTACAGTCTGCATCTGGCTCATGCACGGCGTATGGTTCTTGTCATGCAGGTTTCATAATAATATTGCGAGTTGGCGGTCAGAGTTTCTGACCGCTGACAAAGCTAGTTTGCAGGCCCTTATGATTAGAGCTTCAGTAAAACTGCGTTTCTTCACCCGCGAGTACTTGCCAGGCCTTGAGCGACGCCAGCCGGTGACAGTTCTGAAAGTACCAGATCCCTCGTGAACCTCTCTCCACGTTTTACATGAAACCAGACTAGGGAAAACGTTGAATACATGCACCTCAGTTTACATAGAAATCTGCTGTTGGTCAAATAGTGACAGTCTCTCAGAATAGTGCGAGAGAAATCTGTCTGTTCTCAACATCACCACCATTTTTGCAACAGTAAGCATCTCAAGAAAAGTTTGAGAACTCCAAATGAAGAGAATCCTTCACTGCTTTTATCTTAACCAGGATATTTCTCACTACTTTGTCAATCCAAGATGGCGGCTTCCCGAAGCTCTGTGCATTTACTGGCCGAAAATACGTCTGCACGCAAAGCAGCAGGTTCTTACTAAGCAAATGATGCCCTTTTCCTTCGCTGCTTAAAAGTTCGTGCATTTCCAGTTTTAACTCCCCCAGTCCCTGCCATTTTAGTCCACAACAAAATGTATCAATACTTAATCCGCTAAGTTAGAAAACGCTTATTTCATAAAACAAAAAAATAAATAAACAATTCCATTTGAGCTGTCTCTTGTTTTTTAATATTTTTTATTTTTGCATTGGCGCTTTTACGGTGAATTCATCATTTGTGAAAGTATCGTTTG